ACAGAACCAGGAACTAAAGCCTACAGGCTAATGGATCCAACAAATCGAAAAATTGTTGTTAGCAGGGATGTTGTTTTCAATGAAAATGAAGGATGGAAGTGGAATCATATAGAAAAAACATCTGATGAAAATATGGTAACGTTCAGGGTCAGTATTGGAGAATATGGTAATAATGGATTAAGAGAAGAACAAAATGCTGAAAAAGAAGATAACACTACTGAAGAAATCAATGAAGAAATCAACAATGAAGCAGAAAATGAAGTTTCTGAGGAACAAAACGATGAATCTTCTTCAGAAGAAACAGAGGAAGCTGAGAATCAAGAAAGCCCGCAGCAGAATCAACCACCACTAGTGTTAAGAACCTCACAGAGACAGGTCACACGACCAAAATATCTAAATGATTACATCTTACTTGCAGAGATAGAAAGTGAGAAACTGCTAATGATCATAAACGAGGAACCATGTGATTATCAGGAAGCAAAAGAGTCTACTGAATGGAGAGAAGCATGTAAGGATGAGATTTCCTCCATCAAAAGGAATAACACATGGAATCTGGTTGAACTACCTGCAGGAGCTAAGCCTATAGGGCTGAAATGGGTCTTTAAGATAAAAAGAAATTCAGATGGAAGCATAAACAAATACAAAGCCAGGTTAGTTGCTAAAGGGTATGTGCAAAAACATGGAATAGATTTTGATGAGGTTTTTGCACCAGTAGCACGTATAGAAACAATCCGTCTTATTGTAGCTATAGCAGCCTCAAATGGCTGGGAGATACATCATCTTGATGTAAAAACGGCATTTTTACATGGTGATTTAAAGGAGGAAGTATTTGTATCTCAGCCAGAAGGATTTGTGATAGAAGGAAGTGAAAACAAAGTCTACAGACTAAACAAGGCACTTTATGGTTTAAGACAAGCTCCGAGAGCCTGGAACATTAAGCTCAACAGGATTCTCAAGGAATTAGGTCTTGCGAGGTGTTCAAAAGAACCTTCATTATATCTAAAACAAGAAGGAGAGCATCACCTACTTGTAGCAGTATATGTGGACGATTTACTGGTTACAGGTTCAAGGATAGACCAAATCCTAGAATTCAAGAAAAAAATGGCCTCCAAATTTGAGATGAGTGATCTTGGCCTACTAACATACTATCTTGGTATTGAGGTTATTCAACATAACATGGGCATAATTCTAAAACAAGGAAGGTATGCAGAGAAGATTTTAGAAGAAGCAAGAATGAAAGATTGTAATGCAGTTCATTCACCTATGATTACAGGCCTGAAGTTGTCTAAAGCAGAGAATGAAAGGAACATTGATGAAAAAGAGTATAGACGAAATATTGGATGCTTAAGGTATTTACTCCACACACGGCCAGACCTCTCGTTCTGTGTCAGTATTTTGAGTAGATACATGCAGGAACCAAAAGAATCACATGGTAATGCACTAAAGCAGGTCCTAAGATATTTACGTGGAACTATCAAACTTGGCCTGTCCTTTACTCGTGGTTCAAAGAAAGGGTTAATAGGATACAGTGACAGTAGTCACAATGTAGATGAGGATGATGGTAGAAGTACCACGGGACACATTTTCTATCTTGCTGATTGTCCAATTACCTGGTGTACTAAGAAACAAGAGACAGTGGCTCTGTCTTCATGTGAAGCAGAGTTCATGGCAGCCACTGAGGCTGCAAAACAGGCAATCTGGCTCCAAGAACTTCTGGGAGAAGCTACTGGGAAAGAGTGTGAAAGGGTGACGCTTCTTCTTGACAATAAATCAGCTATAGCCTTAGCTAAGAATCCGGTTTTTCACGGTAGGAGCAAACACATACATAGGAGATATCATTTCATCCGTGAATGTGTTGAGAATTAGCTCATTGATGTGGAGCATGTTCCCGGGGACGAGCAGAAGGCTGATATATTGACTAAGGCGTTGGGAAGAATTAGATTCAAAGAAATGAGAGAGCTTATGGGTGTTCAAGATGTGGAGAATGAAGATATCAAGTTTAAGGGGGAGAATGTTGTTTAAACTTGAAAAACTTAAGGCCCAAGAAAGATATAAACAAGTCGGTTTATATTAAAAGAAGATTCTAGATTTTGGTTAGGAGTTATCTAAACTTAATCCTAGGGTGTTTAAGATTTATAGAATTAGTATAAATAGAGGTGCCAAGGTTGTGGCTAATCCTATGTGTTTTTTTTAGAGAACAAGAGAGATTTATGAGGTTTAAATTTTGAGTAAAGTTTCTTAAACATAATAAAGAGAGGAGTCTTTGTTAATCATAAGTCTTAGTTTTCCTAAAGTGTTCTGATCAATACAATTTACGAGTGGTCGTTAATTGGTTAAGGTGTACGATAGATAGTTGCATATTTTTCACATTACTATATCAATGAAAACATTACTTATAGGAAAACGACGAGAGTTCCAATAATTGTGGAGTAGCCGACAAAAAAATCCCGGGAGACACGTTTCAGACATTTTAAAGAATCATTGCTGGCGACGAAACTTGCCTTCGTGGCACTTGTTTACTTTCCTATTGGCTATTTGGTTTATATTCATTGCACCACTTCTACATTTTCTCTAAGAAAACATTATATATAATATCATGTTACGAAAGAAAAACTAAAAACATCATGCTGGTATTTTTTTTCTTTGATTTGAAATAGGTTTATACCATATAATTTATAGTTGTACTATATACCGTATCTCTCATTTTGAACTTAAATCAAATATGATATTAGATAACTAGTTGACATTTCTCAAGGATAACCAAAGCTTAAATGAAAACATTACCTGTTTCATTACCAACACGTTGACCGTTATACAAACAGTTATAGATAATATATCATCAATAATTTAAGGTCAACCTTTCATTATTTATTAACTAGTTTATATACCATTTTGCAATGAGAGACCGACAATTTATAGTATGGCGCCAAGATCACGAAATCTCAAGTAACTAGAGTTTAATTAAAGTTTTTAAATTAGAAAACGAATAATTGTTGAGAGTTCTAATTTTTTTTAATAGTCGTGCATTAGAAATATCACTGTCAAAATGTTGATCAATTTACATAAAAATTATAATTGTCCACTGGACATATAGACATTTTGATTTTGTTATACTCGTAATTGTCTAAAGAAAAAAATAATATCATCAATTATATCACAGTTCACAATTCAGCATAGGAAAACAATACAATACGCTAAAAAGGTTTGGTTTAAATAGATTTTAAAACACCATATTATTATCTGTATATTTTGGATTTTCGAAATGGTCTGGATAATTTTTTTTTCACTCTTGTTTTATCAGTTTTTTTTTCTTAAAATAAAAATCCTTGTTTCTTCTGGAACTATTAATTTTATATTAAAAATACATTTATGGAATGCTTAAAGAGGAAATGGAAAAATATATATAGACAATAATGCTATTCAGATCTGTAGGTTCAATATTTAGAGCAGTATGCATAGGGATTGATTGTATATAAGATATCATGAATACATAGAGAATACAAAATTCACAATTCTTTATACAAAATACTTAACTATATATGAAACTTTTCATTTATAATGCTACGAGCTTGTGCAATCTAAAAGGCTGTTATATCTAGCATATACGAATGCAAAAAAAATGGTAAACTAAATACTTTTATGCAAAAATTAATTAGTGAGTACTGGCAACATTTTTTTCCTTTTCTTTCTAACTCTGCCAGCTTTTGTATTTATTACTAAGATATTTTATTCTATACCATCTTAAGTATTTTTTACATTTCCAATAAAAATTTTAAAATAATTTTTTATATTTTTATGATAATTTGTAATTTTTAGTTTATTTTAATTGATTAAACTATGTTTAGATCAATTATAAAATATATTTTAATTTAGTAAAATAAAGAAAAAGTTCTCAATATGTATGTAAGAAAATTAAAAGTTTTTATGTTGATACAAAGAGAGTAATTATTTTGTAAGTCTTTGGGCATGATAACTTTTAGTATGCATGAATTGTTAGAACTACAAGAATCTTAATTAAAGTCCATTGTGAAAAATAATTGATAAAATCAATACTACAAGAAAATGAGTATAAATAGACTGTACGGTACTACTTACTATTTTACTAATTGTTTTTTTTTATATATCTTTTTTTATTTATTGTTTTCTTTTAAATCATATATTTAAAGTGAACTTATTTATTTATACCGATATATTTATGTACAGTTCCCCAGAAATATAAATGCGTCTATACAATGCCAACAAATTTTAAAATTTAAATTTACGCGCCATTTTAATTTAAAACTATTATTTAAATATCTTATAAAAGATATCTTAAAAGCTATTTTATACGCTACGATTTTATACCATTATTATAATAAATTTTGCATCTTTAAAGACTATGTCTATATTTGGTACTTGATTCATATATATTTTTTAAATTACTCATTTTTTTAAGCGCTACAGTTTTCGCGCTTAAACATATATATAGAATATGGTATTTTTTCTTATAGCGGACATGATTATATTTTTATATTGACCATAATAATTTTAGAGGGAAATAATCATTTTATGGGCATTTTTTTTTTTTTGAAAGAAGTAAATATTTATTTAAATAAAGAATCTGGACTAGAAATGGAATGAAACTCAAAGGAGATAAATATGAAATTTTTACTATATCCTTACACAAAGAAATGTGTCGTTTAGCATGGTTTTTACAGGCCTATATATTACCACCCTTTCACAGTCTCTCTTATTTAATGCTCATAATATATATAGATACACAAACATACATGCATGTCTCTATCTCTTCCTCTCTGAGGGTCCCAATAGCTTCTTTGGTTTGAATTTGGTGGCCGAAGCAACACAAAGGTCTCTTAAAGTTTTCTGGGTAATTTCTCTTCTTCCTTCGATTCTGTTTTTGTTTTGTTTTGCTTTTACCTATATTGTCTGCTTGCAAAAGTGTTTTTTAACTTGTTGGGTTTGGTCTCTATGATATTTTGTCCGATGGGTTCCATTTTCACTTTTGCAAAGATCGATTATTTCAATAGTAACAAGGACTAAATTGGTTTTTTTTTTTTATAAGAATCAAAAGAACATAAATTCGATGCTTTAAATCTATTATCATTAGATGATAGACCATGAATCTCTTTTACCTTCTCTAATTTTTTCCCCTTATAGTATGTATTTAATCTATTTGGTAGTAGTTTTCATATAGTATTTGTTCAATCCCTTGGAGTAATAACTAATAGAAACTGGATCTCTAAATTTTTGTATTCATATGATGAATCTTATTTCACAAGTTAGATCTCTTGATCTTTCACTGAAAGTCTCTGTTTTTTTTTTTGTGTATTTGCTACGAGTTTTAATTTAGATTTTCGATTTATATGGCTTTACTAAATAATGATTATGCAATTTCATTCCTTAAAGTGAATCATAGTTGATGCCATTATTTGCAGATTGTATGGATTCGTATAACAACAATAGAGGGATGTTTCGGGGTTTAGTTTGTAGCCCGGTGCCTCCATTTACCGAGGGACATGCCGCTATGTGCGATGATCTGAGTAGTGATGAAGAAATGGAAATAGAGGAGCTTGAGAAGAAGATCTGGAGAGACAAGCAGCGTTTAAAGCGGCTCAAGGAAATGGCGAGGAACGGTGTAGGAAAAAGATTGATGTTGAGGCAGCATCATGATGATTTTCCAGAGCATTCGAGTAAGAGAACGATGTACAAGGCACAAGATGGGATCTTGAAGTACATGTCTAAGACAATGGAGCGATGCAAAGCTCAAGGTTTCGTTTACGGGATCGTTTTAGAGAACGGGAAAACGGTAGCGGGATCTTCTGATAATCTCCGTGAATGGTGGAAAGACAAAGTGAGGTTTGACAGGAACGGACCAGCTGCTATAATCAAGCACCAGCGGGATATCAATCTTTCTGATGGAAGTGATTCAGGGTCTGAGGTTGGGGAATGTACCGCGCATAAGTTGCTTGAGCTTCAAGATACTACTCTTGGAGCTCTGTTATCGGCTCTGTTGCCTCACTGCAAGCCTCCTCAAAGGCGGTTTCCTTTGGAGAAAGGCGTGACACCACCATGGTGGCCAACAGGACAAGAAGATTGGTGGGATCAACTGTCTTTACCCGAGGATTTTCGAGGACTTTCTCCACCTTACAAGAAGCCTCATGATCTCAAGAAGCTGTGGAAAATTGGTGTATTGATTGGTGTAATCAGACATATGGCTTCAGACATTAGCAACATACCGAATCTCGTGAGACGGTCTAGAAGTTTGCAGGAGAAAATGACTTCAAGAGAAGGTGCTTTATGGCTCGCTGCTCTCAACCGAGAAAAGGCTATTGTTGATCAAATAGCTTTCTCTAGAGAAAACAACAACACTTGTAACTTTCTTGTTCCTGCAACCGGTGGCGACACGAATCTTTTATTTCCTGAGTCTGCAAATTATGATGTTGAAGTGATTGGTGGCTCGTATCGGATCAATCAGCAGTATCCTGAATTTGAAAACAACTATAATTGTGTTAACAAGAGGAAGTTTGAAGAGGAATTTGGGATATCAATGCAACCGATACTCCTAACATGTGAGAATAGTCTCTGTCCTTATAGCCAACCACATATGGGATTTCATGACAGGAACTTAAGAGCGAATCACCAAATGACTTGTCCTTACAAAGTCACTTCCTTCTACCAACCCACTAAACCCTATGGCATGGCCGGTTTAATGGTTCCTTTTCCGGATTATAACCGGATGCAGCAGCAGGTTCAGAGCATTCAGGACCAGTTTAATCATCCCAACAATCTCTACAGACCAAAAGCTCCACAAACAGGAAGCAACAACGATGACTTGGTTGAGGATTTGAGTCCTCCTTCGACGCTGAATCAGAATCTTGGTTTAGTCTTACCTACTGACTTCAATGGCGATGTGGAAACAGTAGGAATGGAGAACAACAATCAGCAGAATCAAGAGCAAGAGTTGTCCACATCTTGGATTCAGTAAAGAAAGCTTCATGGAGTTTTCTATTTATGTTTTCTAGTTTATAGCTTTGTTTCTTGCTTATTCTCTCATTAAACACAGTTTTTGATCTCTCCATTTTATAGCTTTTGTAGCCGTGGAGAAGATTAGGTTTCATAATAAGTTAATAACCCATTCATTATTGATTTGAAGAACCTCTCTTTTTGACAAAAGAAAAGTAGAAAATGCTTTATTTGTTTTCTTTTTTTTTGACAATCATGCTTTATTTGTTTAGAGGTGTGTATTTGGTGTTCTCAAAAACAGGTTAAAAGGCTTTTTTTTTTTGGCTATTTTACTCTTATCAATTTCACTGAGCAAGTTGTATATATTATTTCTTAATATTAAATAATTTAAACTTTGTTGGTATGATTAGATAAAAATATATATTTTTCTATATGTGACTTTCATTATATCTTTTATAGGGATTTTTTTTCTATAAATACCAGATTTTTTTTAAATGTTAAATTGATATTTTGCCTTTAAGATAATTTATTTTTTAAATCATTTTAAGGGATATTTTTATCCATATTAAGGAAAAAATAACTAAAATGGTCAAATTAGCTATATGTTATTTTGAACTGAATATTGATGGTTAATTAGTTAATTTTAAGAGATATTTCTACATAAATCTCAAACTAAACAATCAGTGAATATCTTATTTTAAAAACTCTACTTTTTCTTCCAGCAAATTAAATATATAATATATCATAAAAAGTTTACAAAATACATAAATATTTCCAATACAACCGTTGATGCAAATAAAGAAAATCGAAACAACCGTTGACCTTATGTTATAAAACTCGACTAATTTAATTTAGTTGATTGATTATTAAAAAAAAAAATACAGTTCATTTTATTGTATTGATTCACTATAATAGCTTATCATATCACTCATGTGCAAGTTTGTGGTTAATTAAAACTTCTCTATTCAAATGATCAAATCCTTCCCGGCTTTTTCTTACCATTATTCCATTCCATGCTAGGATTGGCTGCTTCCTCTCATTTTCTTCTTCAAGTTTTATTATTGGCAAGAAAATGAAAAAGTTTTTCACATTGACCAACTTTTACATTCCGAATATATCTCCTAAAACATTCCATTCAAGGGTCTCCAATTTCTTTTCCTATTGGTCACGAATGGAAAGTTTAATAGTAATCAACAAAATCATAAATACTCATTAAATAATTGTTATCACAGAATCTCCAAAATGATATTTGGACGATATTCATGCAATCACGTCCTAATCTCCAAGTATACACTTTCTCTAATCTTACATAAACAAAAAATAATAAAATGATTTGAAAGTCGGCAATTTACTCCAAATCCTCACTGTCAAAAAATCAAAAGATCCATTTCTTGATTCAAGAAAATGACCGTCGAGAAACCAAAAGAAATGACCGGCGATACCAACTCCGGCGAATTTGTAACTAACAAAGACGTCCACAGAATAAAGCATCTATCGATAGATACCAACGATAGTTCTTCGAGCCGATACTCCGTCGATTCTCAAAAACCAAGAATCGGACCACCGCCTGGGACTTACATCATCAACCTCCCTAAGGATCAGATCTACCGCGTTCCCCCGCCGGAAAATGCTCACCGTTACGAGTATCTCTCTCGCCGGAAAACAAATCAATCGAATTGCCGGCGATGTTTCTGTCATTTCCTCGCTGCTTTACTTATCCTTCTCTTCCTCGCAGCTCTCGTCGTCGGAATCCTTTACCTCGTTTACCAGCCGCATAAGCCAAGATTCTCCGTGAGTGGAGTCTCCGTCACCGGAATCAATCTGACGTCATCTTCTCCATTATCTCCGGTGATCGGAATCAAGGTGCGATCTCAGAACGTTAACGGTAAACTCGGTTTGATCTACGAGAAAGGAAATGAGGCTGACGTTTTTTACGGCGGAATCAAACTTGGTAACGGTAAGTTCACGGCGTTTAAGCAGCCGGCGGATAATGTGACGGTGATCGTGACGGTGTTAAAGGGATCGAGTATTCAGTTAACGAGCTCGTCGCGTAAAGAGTTAAAGGAATCGCATAAGAAAGGAAAAGTGCCGTTTGGTCTCAGAATTAAAGCGCCGGTTAAGTTTAAGGTTGGCGCCGTTACGACGTGGACTATGACCGTGACGGTGGATTGCAAAATAAAAGTGGACAAGTTAACGGCATCAGCAACTGTGGTCACGGAAAACTGCGATACGGGCTTGAGTCTGTTGTGAATTTTGAGTTAGTTTTGTTTATGCCAATTGATTGCCTTTTTCGGAGTTTGGTTCGGTTCGAATTATGTTATTATTAGTTTGTTTAATTTATTTTGAACTAAAATTGAAATTTGCACTGTTCAAAATGGAAGTCTGATTTTTAGTTCTACTGCATTTGGAAAAAATAAATATATTGACATATACATTTTTAATAAGCTTAGTAGAAAATATAGGTGAAATTAGATTCTTAATTTAAAAATATCATCATAAAATTCGACATTAATTCAATTAAAGTCAATTGGATATCTTACCATTTGTTGAAGTTTTTTGAGAAAGATATCTTACCTTTCATAAATCACAAAATTATTCAAAAGAATGATTTACTTTTATAAGTTCATTTGAATTTTAGTTAGTTAAATGCACAAAGGACAAAATCACAATTTAGCATCCCCTGAATCCTAAGTACAATTGTAATTGAAATCAAATTCTCGGATTTAAAATTTAGATATGTTGTAGACATTAACCGAGGAGTTTAACACTCCATGACTCCATCAATGATCCACAAGAGAAAACATCAGATCAGACCAAACTTCCAGTGATGTTTGGACATAGAAAGGTCGTCAAAATATACATCTAATCCCTAAAACCAGAGTTCTTAAATGGTTTTTTTACATCGAGTGCCCGCTACGGGTTACTCTTCTCGCTTTAGCACCACTAGTTGAAGCTAAAGAAGCTTGAGAAGAACCATTTTCAGTTGAGTCTTCATGACTCCTAAGTTGTCTTTTTCTTTTGGATTTTGGAGCTGCGGCTTGAGTCTCGCTTTCCTCCTCCTCATTCATTGCTTCGTCAGCAGCTTCTGCTTTTGTAATTTTACTCAAAGGCCATGGCTTCCCACAACCAGAGCAACGTTTATCATCCTGTCATTTCGATGTGATCAGAAAGTCAAATACTATTGAAGTCAAAACTCAAATCCCATTACGGTTGAGGAAAATCTAAAGAAGATGTGTGTAGTGTGTACCCTTTGAGATAACAATTTTTTGAGGCAGTACTTGTGTATCCGGACAGTGCAACCTTCGGTTGGACACAAATCCGCCTGGAAAGTTGGATACGAGTGTCAGAAAACAAAGCACCAGATATAAAATCAGTAGCGAATATATATCATCACAATGTAAATCCTAATCCAATCAGGTTTCATCAGAATGCAGACCTTTACTCCAGCTTCATTGCAGACTTCACAGGAAGGAACATCATTGTTCCTGAACCAACTGCGCAGGTCAAGAAGAGATCTTATACCAAGTCCGATGTTGCCCTCTCTTGTGCGACACAGCCATTTGTCCCTTACAAGTTCATCGAGAGTTTTTTCCTTTTGCGACATCGAAAAGTTCCTGAAAGCAGGAGGGACTTGCTGTTGACTGCTGCTGGCTTCACTTGATATCTGAGATATTAAACACAAAATCTGTTAACCGAAACAAAGAGAATACGTTTATATAGTCCAACCAAACACATAGCAATAATAGATTTGAAATTCATTATTCACAATGGTAATATGGGAAAGATCCCAAATAATTGTCTTCACCACACTGATAGATGAGAGAAGCTGAGAAATTTGAGATTCGTTTTTCATAATGATCCAACAATCATAAACAGAGATGAAACACTTTCTATCATACAAAAAAACATACAACTCAGAGTGCATGCAAATTTGATCAACAAGCCCACAAGCGACAAAGTTGATTACCGTTTCAGATTATATGATTATATCTCATACAGAACAGAATACTTTCAAGAGACTCTGTAAAGTATTAGCAGTGTTGAAGTCATGATCAGTTAACTGAACAATAGATATGGATGGATTCAGTTTGTCAACAGATGAAGAGGTAAACACCAGATAGACATAAGTCAGGACTATGATTGACCTGATTCTCCAATCGGATATTAAGAGCATCAAAGCTCGATATGCAACCTTGAGCAGCTTCATCCTGTGCAATTGCTTCTATCTGCCATAAGTTAAAGTCATCAGTATCACAGGCAAGTAACACCATATACCCACTTTACGTAATCCATTACCATCTGAGTGCACACATATGACGAAAAGAGAATGACAAAGCAGACTTTTATATGTAATATAAAGTTGTAGCAAAAAAGAGAGAGATCCAGATAATGTTAACTCGTACAAATGAATCGAATAAGGGATATTTGATCAACAAGGAACAGAACATAAGCCAGACAGAAAGAGTCCAAGAGTGACTTACAACGCCTTTAAAGAAAGCGATCTGCGGAACAGAATATTTAGTCCCGAGTTTGGATTGATCATCAGAGACATTGTTAACGACTCCATAACAAACTTGGCCATCATACTGATCTCTACAAGCCTTCAACTCAAAGTGAACATATGAGAGTTCCTTGTTTATCTCAAGAAGGTACTTGTCAAATGTCTTTTTAACAGTTACTGCAAGAAAAAGAAGGAAGAATATTATCAACATAATTTTTGCCCCATGGCTCCTTTAACATTCAACATTAAGATAACCAGTAATTCAACTCCAAATCACTTTCATTACCTCAAACTTAGTATTAACTCACTTTCAACATTATGCTTAAACCTAAGACCAGTAACCATCACATCCAGTAAACAACCGCTACAATATATACCTATCAATTCAGCAGCAAAACTAGCTAAACAATCACAGGAATTCAATATTTAAGCAAATCCCACAGAGACTAAGAAAACAATAACGCACACGATTACGTCGTCGAGACAACAAACATACAGCAATTATATAGCGGCTGATCAAATTGGGTAAAATTGCCGTAAATTACAGATTTTGATTCAATAAAAATCCAATCCGGCGCAAACCCACAAACAGTTATTTTGATATTCATCCGAATCGAGAAAAGAAGAGGAGGGGCGAGACCTGGGTTTCTGCCGGTGACGCCGGTGAAGATTGTGTGAAATTCTTTCTCCTTGAGAGGACCTCGTGAAATCAAAGCCTGAATTAGGGTATGGTGCTTCCAGCTTAGCGTTACCATCCTCAGACCTCCGCAATTTCACCGTATGAAAAAGTTAGGGTTTAGAATTAGGGCTTTTTTTTTTTTGGGGGAGAAAGAAACTGCGGAGAGAGAGAGAGAGAGAGGGAGATGGCGGGAAGCGAATCGACACGATGACGTAATAAAATTAATTTGACAGCTAATTTTTTTAATACAGCTTTAATTTTTTTTTCCCTGAAACACGAAAAGTCTCTTTTGCGCTTGCTTGTTGTGGTTAAGAGTCGTGGCAATTCCGTAATTGTAAAGTGGTACAAAATTAAGGAGAAATAGCAAATCTGACAGTGAAATGTATTGGAATTGCAAAAATGACTTAAAAAGGAACTGTCAAAAAGCAAAACTATATTTAAGATAGCACCATTATTTCTTTTACGGGTTACAGCATAATGAAATTAAAAAAAAAAGATTGAAAATTATGTGTGTCACATCAAGTTAAAATATTTGTTTATTCATTTATACTAATTTGATTACAAGCATCCAACCTTACTCTATTTTAGAGTAAAAATGTAAAATTCTTCTCCAACCTTACTTTATAATTGACTCTAAAATAGAGATTTTTACAGATTGACTCTATATATAGAGCAACTCTATTCTCAACTCTATTTTTGAGTTTAACTTTTTTTATTTATACTTTAGTCCCTCAAATTTAATTTTTTTTATTTAATACATATAATTATTTTATAAACAACAATTACAACACATAGCTTTATAAACTTAACAAGCAAACAAGTACTAAATTTAAAATAATTTTATAAACTTAACAAGCAAACAAGTACTAAATTTAAAATAAACAACATAAGAAAACTAAAACATAAAGAAGCTCATTTCTCACTATGAAATGCTTTAATTGATCATATGTGGAAAAAATATTTTAATGGTGTTATTTAAAATGAAATTTGTAATGTTTTATTATTGTTATATGATGTAATGTTTTTTTAATAAATAATTAGTGTTTAATTTAAATAATTTCATATTTATGGGAATTTTGCAAATCTATAATATATGGGGTCAAATTGTAAATTATATAATTAAAAGGTATTTGTATATAAAATAGAAATATTCTATTTCTAAGAATATTCGTTTTTAGAATAGAAAATAGAGATATACATTAGAGATAAACTCTCCTCTAAAATAGAGTAACTCTATTTTAGAGTAAGATATAGAGCTCTACATTGGAGATGGTCTTATAAGAGCATCTTTAAAGGTAAGCTCTTAGCAAATTCTTAGGTAGATCTTAGGCTTTAATTGATTTAATTTAATTCAAAAATCAAACTTATAGTTAAGAGATGTCTCTTAGCTAAGAACCAAAACTGAAGCTAAGATACGGCCACATGTCCGTGTATGAGTGGTTGATGAGTTAAATTAGGCATGAAAAAATAAACCGTACCGAAATCGGTGCTGAACCGATATATTTTGAATAACCAAAAATACCCAAAATACATTTCAAAATAAGTAGTTATTTATAGACTAAATAATCAAAAATACTTGAAAATATATAAAAATAGTAAAAATACTCGAACATAACTGAAAAATATCCAAAAATACTCAAAAATAACCGAAATATCTGAAAATATCCTTAGCAAACTAACGGAATGAAGAATGCATCAACAATTGAAGAATGATTTGGTTGAGCATATATAGACAAAATATTCCAGAAATTAAGTTTAAAATATTTGTGCTTTATGTTATTTATGTTATAAATTATATCTCATGTATGTTTTAATTTTTTTAACTTGCAATAATTATAAATTTTATTTTTATATTAATATTTTTTTCTTCTAAGAACTACATGTTAAGAGCCTACTATTAATCACACAAAAAATCTTAACTCAAAAATACTATCTCTTGACAATAACTTTTACAAATAAATTATTTAAATATTACTAAAAAGTATTTCTAAGAGGCTACCTATAATCATGCTCTAACATGTTTTGAAACTTAGTTGAAACCATGTGTTACACAGTTTATATAGCTTAGAAATATAAGTTGGAACATATAAGCTATAAAAAGCAAAAAAAAAAAAAAAAGAAATTAGCAATCTAGAATTTATGAGCAAGTTTTTGGTTAAACAGTTTCCACAAATTCATGTTTACCGGAACGAAATTCCAAACCAAGAAATCAAAAAATTAAGATGTGTATTTTGATTTTTTCTAGTTTATGAAGAATTTATAACACAATGATATAAAGACCTATGACCTATCTAATCTTTTTTTTTTTTTTTTTTTTTTTTGGACAAATAAAGACCAATCTAATCATACAAGAACTTTCAAATCTTTTGGTAATAGTATAACGAACAATTTGGTGCAGTGTGTGTGTGACTAGTTAGTTCAAATAGTGTATAAAAATAAAATAAAAAATTGTTATAAGTGGATAATAACGTTATTTTAAAAGAAGAAGAAAAAAAGGAGAAGTTAATTTTGTATACATGAAAACAACAACCTGCTATTCATTTAAAGGAGAGAGAGAAGAACATAGGAATGGGAATAGAAAAGTATACAAGATGACAAAAACTCCACTGCACATCTCAGAAACACGCCCTCGTATTTTCATGTACCACTCTCTCTACTCCACAATGCAGGCATTTACTATTTTGTTTTTATACGTTTGGTATTTGCAGGACAGAGATATATATATTACGTACAAAAACAAATTTTGTTATCTTTTTCGTGGTGTAAAAACGATTTTGTAATCTTTCCACTTTTTCAATAACTAATTTCAAATTTCAAAACCAGTGCTCGAATTTGATGAGTTGATGACAAACAAAGAATTAGTCAAACAGTCAAACTTAGATATTTATATTCCAACAATTGAGAAAATGTGATTAGTTCTTTTTAACCAGTATTGTTTAGTACGGCTGGGCAAAATATCTGTTAAATTCGCTTCGATCCGTTATTCGAATCGATTTGATTTGAAAAATTCGGATATCCGTAACTTTACGAAACAAATCAAATATTAAAAATAGGCATTCGTCAAAAGCGAAAAAAATATCAAATACTATAATTTATATAGGTGGATATCCGCTCTGCTCCAGAATACATACATATATATAGATAATTACATGTATAAATTATAATTTTATTATTCTTGTATGTGTTTTATAATTTTTTAATCACCGAATTAATTATTTAAACTACTAGTTTGAACAATTAAGGAGAAATATATATTTCTGATAAAATATTACTATTTATAATAATATTTTACTATTTTTTTGGATTAATTTTGTTATTTATTTATTTATTTTTAAACAAATATTTAACGAATCGAATATCCGGCAAATAGTTTGGATTGGAACGGATATTCGAACAGCCGGATATCCGGTCACTAACGAAGCAAATACGAATCAGAAAACTTAGTATTCGGAAAAGGCGAATCGAATCACAAATACCACCAAAATTCCGGATATCCGCTCCGTGCCCACCCCTATTGTTTAGTTCTCTTCAAAGCTATTAATATTTAGGATTGTCACTGCAGAGGCCTAATATATATGTGTGAAACCATTTTGCGAAATTCATGTTTATTAGAATATCTACACTTATAATACAATACATATATGTTGTAAAAAAAACAACATATATAAAAAAAGAAAAAACCATACAGCACTAATCCATCTCATCGCAAATTTAATCGTTTTGTTGAGATCCGCATAGCATTAACATATAAACAATTGGGCTAAGTTTCTTCAAATTTAAGATACCCATAATTAAAAAGTATTATTTATCTATACTTACATTTTGATTTTATTTAAGAAACCCATCTTTAGAAACTCCATTGAAAATGCTCTAACCACCTGTCTCGTCTCGGTATATTTTTATTCGAATAAATGAAAATGTGTAAGGTTTTTTACTTCATTCGATGAATGAAAAATTGTTATTTCCCTAAATGTAGGATTCAAAGAATTGTCAAGTAGACCAACCACACAATGTATAACTAAAAAACACGTCAAGAGACTTTGAAACATTTGTTAGATAAATGTGGCAACAAGAATTTCACATTATTTTTTACATTGTGGTATAGACTTTGGTTGCATAAATAAAAAAGTTCAAAAAAAAAAAAAAAAAAAAGTTCCCAAGGTTTTGGGCTTGGTACGATGTTCCTAAACTATATATTAGTCGAATCACACCCTTCAAAAGTTTATGATGCCATGAACTTCCATGATATAGTTATATATTTTCTATCGGGATCAAAATGTTTAGAGAAATGAGCTTGGTATGAGAACGTTTGTGTTGTGTCTTTAAGACTTTAACAATGTTTTCGTAAGACCTTTATTATAATAATATGGATACGCTTATTATGAAGAAACAGTCGCCCATTACTTTTCTGAAGTCCTTCGTTCACTGGAAAAATAAATAAACATCACATTTTCTCATTCATTGAATACACATATCTCAAATTTGATTTTTTAGTTTTTTGTCATCATATTAAGATTTATTTACTACAAACTTAAAACTTTGACATATATATATATATAGTACTATATTATAAATAACAAATATTTACATTTGCTCTTAATACAAAAGATAGTTACGTAACTAATATATCATGTTACTAATTAATTTGTTCATATATCTCCTTTTGTGTATTTGAATATATGGATTTGATTCAAGAAATAATCATTGCATATATCATAGTTCGTTATATTCATTTATAGTTCGTTTATCGTACCATAGCATGTGTTATACAGTTTTATAGACTTGGGTCATGTGGCCATCAATGCATAATGGCTTAAAGATTCATCAATGAAACTAACACTTTCAAGTTTCAACTGATACCATCCACAATGGTGGTACTTTATTAGACTCAGAACCGTGCCCTCACTTAAAAAGAGTTATCATCAACTCCAAATCTTGATATATTAATAGAGTAATTAATACCACTAAGAAGATATAGCAGTATTTTTGTAAAACTGTTAGAATTCCAACAAAAAAATATTTGGAAGAGGAGAAAGATACACCAGTCATTTAATACTTTAATAAAGAACAACATCTTTAGCACCAAAAATCACAAAGAAGGACATAAATAGGAATGGTGAAGAAAAGATGAATCGAAAAACAAAAGTGGAGAAGAAAAGCTTTTTTGTTACTAGTATATTCATTATTCAACAACTCATTTACTGTTGCAAAGTTCTAATATATATATGTGGGAAAAACGGTCTATTTCCCCACGAGATGTATCGCATCATAACAGATAGAGCCCAATCTTTAACCTGAGTTTATATGTCTTTGAAACCATAGATTGAAGCCTAAATCTCCCTAAATCCATAGTTTTCACCTAATTACCCATAAATATTAGTTTTGCTCGGTTAGTGTTTACCAAACCAAGATGAACCAACTAAAAACGAAATTAAACCAATTTCAATCCAATAACAACTAATTGAACATGACCCGACCAAACCCACCCAACCCAACTTTCTTCTTCACCCGATTTGTTTTCTTCATCTTCTTCCCTCATCTGTTTTTTTCTTTCTTTCTTTTTGAATTCATTATCTTCAATCTCTTGAGTTTTGATGTGACTTGAAGAGTATAAATCTAATAACCTTTGAAACTAGATTATATTTTCATGATTTTTCAAATCAAATCCTCAAAAAGACGAATCATTTACATATTGAAATCAAAATTCCCAAATTGAAATCTATACCTCTTTCCATATATCAAATTGAGAGAGCATCTGTTTCATTACCCATTCTGAAATCAAATCAACCAAATTAGGCTTAAATTAAACACATATAATTGATGAATTTATGCTCCTGTCTCATTCTTAGATCACGTTTTGCTTTCCGATCTCTCCAATGGATTAAATATCCAATTATATCCAAATAAATAGATATGTTGTTTGTTCAGGAAAATGTTTCGATTGTGGATCATTGGCTCGTAAACGGGACGCATTATGCAAAGACAAGGTAAAAACTCCGAAGATTTGTTGTAAAAAGCGAGAGAAGATGATAATTATCTTGTAATGTTTGTTACTTTATAATTATACAACTTTTTGCAGTGAAGAGTGGGTCAAAAGAATGGATAAGGAGATAGTTGCAATAAAAGAGATAATGGAAGTGACATATGGGAAAGAAGAAGCAGTGAAGTGGATGGTTTACTGGAGAACCTTCTTCATCGCGGTAGCTGAGCTTTTCGGGTACAACAATGGAGAAGAGTGGATGGTTGCACACTTCCTCTTCAAGAAGAAATGATGATTTCTTTATTTTCTTCTATTTTTCAATAAAGAACTGAAACATGAATATATAGAACTGAAGAAGAGAAGCAGAGGGAATTACTGAGAGACAGTCTCTGTACTTTTTCCACTCGGCAACACACTCTTCTTTATCCCATTGCCCTTTAACAAACTTCTCCGAGTACCCATCGGTTACTCAACAAACTTCTCTGAGTACCCATAGTTAATCAACACTAGGATCAGAATCCAAAATCAACACTAGGATCCGCCAAACCCCAAAATCACCCCTAGGCAATTTCTCTCTAGGGTTCTTTCTTTCGATTTGGGGATTTTTGATTTTAGGGTTTTGATTTGGGGATTTCGGTTTTAGAGAGTAAATCGGGTCGTAATTGGGCAGAACTCTGGTTTAATCGGATTATAATAAGGTTTAGTTGGTTCGTTAATTGTTTTTGAATACAGTAAACAGATTCAACCCAGCTCTGTGTGGTATTAGTTCTCGAACTTTCGATTCGGGGACATTTAGGTGTTGAACTTTCGATTCGGGGGGAAATAGGAATAGAACCTCCATTTTAAAGATATTGGGACCGGAGTCAAAGATTGGGCTCTATCTGTTATGATGCGATACTTCTCGGGAGGAAATATACCGTTTTCTCATAGATGTGTTACATGGTTAACTTGAACCGGATCATAACAAATAAGACGAATAACCGGTTATATATGTAGCTTAATATTTTGCATGATCCAAAATAGTTGTAAGCGATTTGATTCTATATATACTTTTTTTTTTTTTCCTCAATTATATATATACTCTTAAAATTCCATATAACATCAAAATCGCCTAACATTATTTTGTCCAAATTGTTTCTAAGTTCTCTAACAATAAACTTAAATAAGTATTTTTTTCCTTTCGTAATAAAAAAAAAAAAAACGTAACGAGAGAAGTAAATTGATAAGACATTGAAACGAAAAGAAAGGAATATGGAGCGAAAAAAAATAAAAATAAGAAAAGAAAGAAAAGTGGGTCCTACCTAAAAAAAACTCTTGCGACTTGCGTCTGCGGCTTCATAATAATAAGCGACACCAAGATTTTAGTGAACCACCAAACAAACAAACAAACAAACAAACCCTTTCTTCTTCCTCTCATAATCTCTCTTTTTTTTTCTCGCTCGCTCGCTGCTCTGTTTAGGGTTTTTTCGTTCGTGTCTTTAGCAACTACTAGGTTTGTCTCTATTACTCAAAATCGTTCAATGTATGTTACTTAGATCTTCGATTTTGAACTTTCATGCATGATTTTTGTGATTTTTTCTCTTGTTTTTTGAACGAGTTCTGCTGTGTTAGAGTTTATCTTTGTATATCTGTGTGTTCTCGTCGCTTCTACAAGTACTAGGCTTATTTTTAACTCAAAAATCGTTCAATGTATGTTCGATTTTGAACTTTCATGCATGATTTCTGTTAATTTCGTCGATTTTTGTGAGTTTTTTTTTTCTCTTGTTTTAGCGATTTCTGCTCTGTTAGGGTTTATCTGCGTTTTTCGTCGTCTTCTTTTGGGGTTAAACGCTTTAAACTAGTGATTTTGTGCTTCTTCTTTTTTTCTTTGTTTCATGAGTTTCTCTGTTTTTTTTGTTCATAGTAGTGTTTGTTTATTTTGAATATCACTGGATTTTTTCGTTTTAAAGCTTCGTTGTTACATGATTTTCGTCTTCTTCTCTCTATGCGTACTCGCGGTACATGTTTTTTTTTTGTCTTCTCTGTTTATCTCTGATATCTGTTGAGAAATCTGGAAAAATAAATGTTGGCGTGAGTTTTTTTCTTTTACTAAAAAAATTGGTTTGCCTTTTCCCGAGAAAAATCTTCTGGGTTTCGTTTGCTGCTTTGTGTTCTTTGTCTCTACCTTCATTTTTTTATTCGCTTTTTCAAAAGATCCCTCTCTCTCTCTCTCTCTCTCTCTCTCTGTGGCTTTTCGAGTGACCATTTTTTTTTGTCATATATGTTCATGTCACGTATCTCTTTCTTCTTCACCATTGTTGCTGTCATATATCTTCCTTTTGCTTGTATGAGGTGTTCTGAGATTTATATTTATGCTTGGTTCATCTTAAAATGGGTTTCATTTTTTTTTTTCGCTTTTTTTTTTCTTTTCTTTAAGCTGCTTGAAGCATGACGCAAATGGTTTTGTTTGCTTTTGAGAAATCTGAGTCTAGTTTGTGATGGGTGTAATGAGTTTGTGACGAATCTGTTCTTTGGAGTTTGGATCTGTAGATTTCACCTCTAGTACTCTGTTCAAGTATGGGTTTATCAGTGTTTTTGCGTGATTGCTGCTCTTGTTTATGCCATGTTCTGCTTTCTTTTTTTCCTTAATCATGTTTTAATCATCAATGGTTTTAAGTAACTGTGCGAAGTTTGCTTTCTTTTTGTCATGATGAAACCTGAATCCATGAGTTGTTCTGGGTGATGTTTGCTTTGTTCTGTGATATAATGGTCTTTAGCTCTACTGGCTTAGATTTCGGGTCAGAGTTATTTCTTTAGTATCTTATTAGTTTTCTTACTGAAAATTTGTGATAAATCTGCTTATTTGTTGCGTTTTTGCTTTACCATTGCTTTGAACAGATTATCTTTTGGTGCTTTTTTTTCTGACCTTCTGATTTTTGTACTCCAGAGATGGATTCTAATGAACCGAATGGGAGTGGCGTAATGCAAAAGGGAGGGTTACCACCTCCACCACCTGTCGTTCCAACAAATGTTGTCCCTGAAGTGGAGCCTGTAAAAAAGAACATTCTTCTCCCAATGGCTCGGCCTAGAGGCAGTGGTTCCAAAGGACAGAAGATTCCTCTTCTTACTAATCACTTTGGAGTCAAGTTTAACAAAGCAAGCGGTTACTTCTTTCATTACAGTGTATGTATACTGTGACCTCTAATAATCCTATTTGTATCACTGCTTTTCCTGTTTTATCTCTTGGATACATGATAATGGTCGGATTTGTTTCTTTAAATTTGGATACAGGTTGCTATCTCATATGAAGATGGCCGTCCAGTGGAGGCTAAAGGTATTGGCAGAAAGATTCTTGACAAAGTTCAGGAGACCTATCAAAGTGATTTGGGGTCCAAATACTTTGCTTATGATGGCGAGAAGACTCTCTTCACTGTTGGTGCTCTTCCCAGCAACAAACTTGACTTCTCTGTTGTTCTTGAAGACATACCTTCTAGCAGGTGTGAAATTTGACTTCTTTTTTTTTCCTGTAAAATTCCTTAACTGTTTTCTTTTCTTCAAAGTCTAATATGCTTTGATATCCTCTTTATCTGCAGAAATAACGCTGGAAATGATACAAATGATGGGGATAGGAAAAGATCAAGGCGTCCCAACCAATCTAAGAAATTCATGGTTGAGATAAGTTATGCTGCAAAGATCCCCATGCAGGCTATTGCAAGCGCTCTTCAAGGGAAGGAGACAGAGAATCTTCAAGACGCTCTAAGAGTGCTGGATATTATTTTGCGCCAGAGTGCAGCTAGGCAGTAAGTTAAAAATTCTGGGTATTTGTATTTCAAATAAATTCTTTGCCTGATCTTTAATGTCATGTTCTCATTTCTGTTCGCAGAGGTTGCCTCCTTGTTCGCCAGTCTTTTTTCCACAATGACGTAAAGAACTTTGTACCTATTGGTGGAGGTGTCAGTGGTTGCAGAGGGTTCCATTCAAGTTTCAGAACTACTCAGGGAGGCTTATCCCTGAATATTGGTAAGTCTTTCCAGATTTAATGTGTCTTAGATTCTACCATGACATTTGGCTGCTAAACTTTGATTTATTTGCTTTGGCCTTAGATTCTACCATGACATTTGGCTGCTAAACTTTGATTTATTTGCTTTGGCCTTTCTTCAGACACTTCAACTACGATGATTGTACAACCTGGACCTGTTGTTGATTTCCTGCTTGCAAACCAGAACAAGAAAGATCCATACGGTGTGGACTGGAACAAGGTACATCATTTTCTTATGCTGCACGATTTCACTGATGAATTAGCATCTCTAAGAAGTACTTATATATTCTCTTATCAGGCTCGTCGTGTTCTCAAGAATCTGAGAGTTCAAGTTACTCTTTCAAATAGAGAATACAAGATAAGCGGGCTAAGTGAACACAGCTGCAAAGATCAAATGTATGTCGATTTTATTTGATCACAAGTTTATATTTTTTTGAGTTCATTCTAAGATATCGGTCCTTGATTGATAGGTTTACATGGAGGAAACCTAACGACAAGGGGGAATTTGAGGAGGTTGAGATCACAGTGCTCAATTACTATAAAGAGCGTAATATTGAAGTGCGATATTCAGGTGACTTCCCTTGCATCAATGTTGGTAAGCCGAAGCGTCCCACTTACTTCCCCATTGAGGTAATTTAAGTGCATTGTTGTTTTTCTGTTTTCCCACATTTTTTCATATAACGGATTATGACAATTCTTTTTGGTTTTCATGTTTGCAGTTCTGTAATCTTGTGTCTCTTCAGCGATACACAAAATCGCTTACCAATTTTCAGAGGGCTGCACTAGTAGAAAAGTCTAGGCAGAAGCCACCAGAAAGGATGGCCTCACTAACCAAAGTAGGTCTTCTTTCCATTATCCTTGAGACTTTGAAGCTTTTTCTGTTTCTTATGTTTTATGTTCTGATTTATCCTGCAGGGTCTAAAGGACAGCAATTATAATGCCGACCCGGTGTTGCAAGATAGTGGTGTCAGCATTATTACCAACTTCACCCAAGTTGAAGGCCGCATCTTACCAACACCAAAGGTGACTTTCCTTGCTTTTCTTGCTGTATCTTTTCCTTTTTGCTTGTGGATGTTTTAATGTTGATTATCTTTATCCTTGTTTACAGCTGAAAGTGGGGAACGGACAGGACTTTACCCCAAACAACGGGCGCTGGAACTTTAATAGCAGGGTGCTTAGATTTTCTATCTTTTGCTCTTAGTTTGAATATTATAACCTCTACTACTAATTGAATTTCTAATGCAGAAACTTGTTGAGCCAACGACTGTTACTAGATGGGCTGTTGTGAACTTTTCTGCTCGTTGTGATACAAATGCGCTTATTCGCGACTTGATTAGATGTGGACAGTCAAAAGGAATTGTAAGCCTTCTTCAGGGTCAATCTTACTATCTATACAATCAAATCATATGCTTAACTCCTTTTAATTCGACCCTTTTGTTTTTCACTATAATTCCAGAATGTAGAGCCTCCATTCAAGGATGTCATTAACGAAAATCCTCAGTTTAGGAATGCACCAGCTACTGTGAGAGTAGAGAATATGTTTGAGCAGATAAAATCCAAACTCCCAGGGCAGCCTCTGTTCCTACTTTGCATACTCTCAGAAAGGAAAAACTCTGATGTTTATGGTACATTTCTTTTAATAGGGGCCTGTTTTCCCACCCTTGAATGCAAATGTGTAACTTTTCATATTCGTGTCTGAAATTTTTTAGGCCCTTGGAAAAAAAAGAATCTTGTTGATCTTGGAATTGTGACTCAGTGCATTGCTCCCACAAGAGTGAACGATCAGTATCTCACCAATGTTCTCCTGAAGATAAATGCCAAGGTAGCTGAAAATTGTTATTTCAGTCAATTTGAATTTCAAGACTGATTGTAAAGCCTAACAGGCTTACAACTGAAAAGATTTATATTTGGTATATGTAGCTTGGTGGATTGAATTCGCTGTTAGCAATAGAGCGCTCACCAGCAATGCCAAAAGTAACGCAAGTTCCTACTATCATTGTTGGGATGGATGTATCCCATGGTTCCCCTGGCCAGTCTGATATACCATCAATTGCAGCGGTAATACTTACTTTGTTTTGTAATTGTTTCTTATGATCTCTTCAATGTCAACATTCTTGTTGTGAGGCCATGTCTAACTCTCATCTAGTGTTGGGTGTTTGGATATTTTAGGTTGTGAGCTCCAGACAATGGCCACTCATCTCAAAATATAAGGCATGTGTACGCACACAATCGCGCAAAATGGAAATGATTGATAATCTCTTCAAACCCGTCTCTGGCAAAGACGAAGGAATGTTCAGGTAAAATTCATGGAATGTTGTGATATTCATAGCTCTTATTCCTATTTCAGGGCCATGTGAATGGTACAATATTCTTTCATCCTTTTACAAAAAAGTATGTTTAGCATCAGTGTAATTAGAGATTTCCTACTGTTTACAGGGAGCTGTTGCTCGACTTTTACTACAGTTCTGAGAAGAGGAAACCAGAGCACATCATTATATTCAGGTATACTTGAATCTATTAAGGTATCATGTAAAAGTAGTATAATCCAATGTGTGTACTCATTCTCAATATACATGTAGGGATGGTGTGAGTGAGTCTCAGTTCAATCAAGTTCTTAATATTGAATTGGATCAGATGATGCAGGTATGGATTATGGTTCTGGAGCTTTCAGTGACTCTTAAGAATTTTATTTAGTATAATTTGGACATCTTTGGGCCTGATTTGTCTGTTACATTATTAGGCATGCAAGTTTCTTGACGAACACTGGAATCCAAAGTTTACAGTGATCGTTGCCCAGAAGAACCACCACACCAAGTTCTTCCAGTCGAGTCGCCCTGATAATGTTCCTCCAGGTAATATCCATTTGACAAGTGCATGATTTTCTGTTGGTCATTGTGTTTAAAATGACCTGAAACCTGGCTTCTGCCTGCAGGAACAATAATTGACAGCCAGATCTGTCACCCACGCAACTTTGATTTCTATCTCTGCGCCCATGCCGGCATGATTGTAAGTTACAGCTCCTGCAGAAGTTACTTTAACCAATCAGTTGCTATATGAATCAAACTTCAACAGTTTTCTACTGATTTTGATATGTTAGGGAACTACAAGGCCAACACATTACCATGTGCTGTATGACGAGATTGGATTTGCCACAGATGACCTTCAAGAACTTGTGCATTCTCTATCCTATGTGTAAGCAATAGATGACTTTTAACTCTTTATCTGATAGGTTATCTTTGTGGTGTTACAATGTCAATTAAACTTAATTGTCTGCTTTGATTCTTGTAGCTACCAGAGGAGCACCACTGCGATCTCAGTCGGTAAGTCTCACATCTTTTATGCATTACTACCTTATGTGCAATATCTCAATTCTCAAGTTTCTTTTTGTGTTTTGCAGTTGCACCAGTTTGTTATGCGCATTTGGCAGCTGCACAGATGGGAACTGTGATGAAGTATGAAGAGTTGTCTGAGACTTCTTCGAGCCATGGGGGAATCACCACACCCGGAGCAGTCCCTGTGCCTCCCATGCCGCAGCTGAACGATAAAGTTGCAACCTCCATGTTCTTCTGCTGATGGAACATGGCCCAGTCCCCACGGTAGCTGAGTTTATATGCTTTTGATGGAGAACCAACGAACTAAATGCCCCTTTTGTTTACTCTTCTCTGGGTTCGATGCCTCTTTTGTTTTTCGTCGACCCTTTAACATTGCTACTCTTATGTTCTATCAGTTTTTCTGGGTGCTGTTGGTTGAAATCTTTTTAGGCTTAATCAGATTTGATATTTTAAGACATTTAAGTTCTCTTTTTTTAACGTCTGCCGGATATTATTACTGAATTACATAGTCATTGTGAGTTGCATCATATAGTTAGATTTGAAATATACTGGTGAACTAGATAACAATCCGCACGATGTGCGGGATGAAATGATTCAAGTAAAATTATTATGATTAAAATTATTATCCGGGATCCAAGATCCGTTTGTGTAAAACGAAACATGTTACAATTTTTTTTTTGTTTTATTCAAATTTGGGACTATTTCATATAAGAATATGTTTTACCCGTGAAATATTTGAACCTTGAATAAAGCTTCAACATGATAAAAAAAGTTTTGACGAAATGTTACCATTTATGGCAATATGTCTTAAGATTTTTTTTTTTTATTAAATATAAGAAATCCAAAATTTAGCAAAGATGAGATTTGAAGTTTCCAAGCTAAGATTTTGTAGTGTTCCAAATCTAAGATTCTTAGATTATGAATGTATTATTTACGAAATGGTTATAATGTAGCCAGATTTTGGTTTATATACAAATGTGGTTATAATGTTTTTCTTCGAAATGTTAGAACTCTTCCAAAAAATAAGATTTTAAGTATTCGTAACATATAGAAAGGAGATTATCTTATTTATTTAAGTAAAAAATTTATGAAAGTTGTAAAGATTTTGTAGTTTTGAATTCGAAATTCTTGAACCAAATGTATATCTTTTATCATTTAAATATAAACATAAATATAAATATAAATAAAAAGATTGTTTATCCATCCGCTAAAGAAAATTTATATAAAGAAAAATATAAATATAAAAATATAGTAATATAAGATAAACAAAAAGTGTATGTTAACCGGGTGCTTGTCTCCTTGTGGTATAGGAACCTCGGCTGAGGCACCCACCACCCGGCTTCGAGTCCCGGCCACTGCGCAATTTACCTATGAGGCACAGCGTCCCAGACCACCAGATCCAAGGGGCCCTTAAGTGGAGGCTTAAAAATCCAAGGAACGCGGGCTTAGGCCCAGTGGGCTAGTCGGATCACATTGTGGTCTGGACACTGGGTTATCAAAAAAAAAAAGTGTATGTTTTTAATTATTAATAGGATATATGGATGTATAAGACTAATGACAAATTCTGTAAATAGTCTAGTAAATCTTGGGTAATTATCTAAATATAAGCCAAATCATTGTGAGAGCGACACATCAGCGTGGCAATCTTGTTAATAACACATGATGGTAAGATTTTTTTTAAAAAATGTTTCTCTATTAATATATAGGGGATTACATCTGTAATTTGAAAAGAAAAAAAAAATGTCTTAGAAATTTTACAACCCTAGTACTCCCTCCGTTTTCGAATAGTTGTCGTTTTAGAGCTTTTTTCTTGTTTTAAATTAGTTGTCGTTTTAAGGTAATAATGTAATTTATGCCAATAACTACCCAAATTACCCTCATTTTATTGAACACAAATTATTTGTAAATAATTACTTGTCATTTTTATGAGGTTAATATAGTCATTGTATACCTTTTCTTAATTTGTCCAAATACAGTTAAAACGACAACTTTTAAAAAACAGAGGGAGTAATATATAACTAATACTGAGTCAATAATAAACACGAGTGTTATTAAGCAAGGTTAACCACCAAATTCATGGGAATCTTCAGACTTAACAATCTCTAACAAACAGAGTTAGGAATGTTTTGGTCTAAAAGTATAATTTGCCTAAGCCAAATAAAAGCTGCAAGAAGACAAAAATTTACAAGCAAGAAATGTGCTATCTATATAAAAATGTCGCATAAAAAACATCTTATTGTTTCTACAGACACTACAATATCACATCATTTTTTTTTTCTTTTTTTCCAAAATTGAGTAAAATTAGAAAATGAAATATATACAAAATAAGAAAAGATTACAACTTTTAGGGAGAGGGCGAAACTCCTTGTGTAGATAGATGAACGCCTCTTCAGTCAAAGCTCTTGTCTGTATTGCAGAGATCCTGCATCCATCCAAAATCCAAAAAAAATAATCCCACAAAAGAAAACACCACCAAGGAAATTATCCTTTAAAATTCAGAGTGATTGCTTCACTTGGTTGGTCTCTTCCCCCAGAAGAAGAGATACACAAAACTTTAGGTCAAGATTTAAGGATCATTTGCTCTGCCACACCAACATGTCTCTGCTTCTTCTTCTCTTCACATCATCATCAGTGAGACTTGTTTTCTTTTTGGTTGGTGACTGTATCCTTTGCTCGGAAATCGTCTATGCTACGGTATTCTTCCTTCAGTAGCTTCTCTAGCTCAGGGTGCTTTGTTATCGGTTCTTTTTTGCCTCGATAATGGTGGAATGCCCTACACAAGAGAGAGATGATTAGGTCCTTTTCAACACAACCAACCAAACATTTTCTATAACCTAAAGGAGAGCATTGAGGCTGTGTGAACATCTTTTAACCTATATTATTACTACAAGCCCAATTTATTATATAACCTTACTTCTCTATCAGCATAATCTCTAGAGACATCACCAAGAATCACAGTGTTCCATAACAGGAATTCAGTAGCAACAATATTGTTTAACCATTATCATAATAAAAGAGCCCTTACCAATATTTCTCCAAGCCATACAGATTTCCCTTGTGGTAGAAGTCAAGTGATAGCTTCTCAAAGTCCTTGTAAAGGTCCTCATCAAAGTGCTTCTCCAGACCATAACTTAAGAAACAAGGGAGACCAATATTGGTTGGATTAGGTTTTAACACTGAAGAGCTTATCCGTAGTGAAAAAGATGGAAAATCGAAGCAAGTCTAAGAAGTATGCATTATTACCTATAAAACCGAAAGAGACACTCCAGCCCATAATTGTAATTGCCAGCTGCATCCTCAAGAGCAAACTTCTGAAAGTCATCATACATAGACAGAACAAAGGTGTCTCTGAGGAAATATGACCAAAATCGGTACAAATGATTCATTTCCTGCAAATCGAACAGACAGAATTCAGATACAGTTCCAGAAACAAGTGTTCGGATCTCTAATTAGACTAACGTAAAAGTATTAGTTGAGTAATTTATATGTAAAAGCAGATGAGTTGAGCAATTCCATATGTAACAGTTATTGCGGGTTTCTTTTATAGTGCATGATGAGAGCAAAAAAAAGTCATCGATAGGAGGTTAACACGAAATTGACCTCACTGCATCCACTACCCAGCTTCTTTCTTTCGTTTAAGCAGCGCTTGCGATACTTCAAGTACCTATGGGTAGATTTAAAAGGAATGAGAACATAGACCTTCAAGATACAATCTTATCCTTCAAAAAATAATGCTCCATAAAATAAACACAAGTTGTTTAACCGAATAACCATAGACTCACTTTTCTTGTTTAAACCCATTCTCTTCCAACAGTTGGTGGCTCGGATGTTGAAAAGGTGGAAATGATTTTGGCAAAGAGCCCACAGGTGGACTGCTTCCAGAAAGTGTACATTGTGGAGATGAACTCAATTTCGAAAGCCTAGGGCTGTGAAATGTCAATAAAAAACATAATATTAAGGACAAGTGATAAATAAAAAATAAGAATAAGTTGGGAATATTAAGGATTACTAGGATACTGACCCATGACTGTCTGGTGGTGTAGAACCAAAGAAAAATCCAATGGAGCTACTAGGCGGACTTTCTGATATATTTCCATGGTTCCTTATGTTACTCGAGAAGAACCTCCGTGCATGGGCTGTATGATGTTTGTGCGTTCCCTTATTTTGCTTCCTCCGAGAAGTAATGGTTCCATGCTCTTCCCCTCCTTCATTTGCTGCTGAATTTTCTCCCAATTTCGTGTTCAATCCTACCCCAGATTTGATTTTCCCATCTTTGGTATCCAAATGGGAGTTGTTCTTCCTACGGCCAGATCGATTTTTTTTTAGCTCCTGTTTCATAGGTAATGATCAGAAATTGGACTCCAAAGAGGTAAATCATATTATTATAGCAATAGATTCCTTACCTGCTCAAAGTAGTAAAGACCATCGTTTATTGTGGAGGCAAGCTCCTTAGGGATATTTTTTGCTTTCGTCACACCGATTCCAGTGCCATCGCTTTTACCACTATTCTGTTCAGCATATAACGGAACATGAATAATTGATTTCACCAACACAGAGTTGAAGGAAATATATAAAAAGTTCCGTGTAATACCTGGGTAACAATTACAAGTTTCTGAATATCTTGATCATCAACAGCCATATCATCGTCTTCATACTCAATGCTACAAAATGTCAAATAAACCAAAGCATCAACTGCAGAAAGTACTTTATACATGCAGTTTAAGATTCGTATAAAAAAAAGAAGGCATATTGGAAACAAATAGGGCAGAAAACAAATAACAGGAGTAATTAAGTCGTGCACGCACTACCTTTTGGACATGGACAGTCCACTCTTTCTCGGGCTTCTGTGCTCCAGATCTAGTTCCTCGTCAAGCAAGAAAGTGTTTGAAAAATCGTTTGACAAGTCCTCCACATTTCTTTTTTCGTCTGCTGATGATTTCATGTTACCACTTTTATAATTATTGGTTCTTGATGACTGAGCTCCCTGTACCACACAACAGAAAAGCTATGACTGGAGCAAAAACTAAAATTTCATTGGCTGGCTCTCTCTACTAAAAGAAAAAAAAAGTTTTACCTCTGAAGAGAAATTGGACGCGGTAGGCTTTGAAGAACCCTTTGAAGGGTTTCCGAAATTATCCCCGCTTGTTATACTTTCTAGGGAATCTTTGTCACTGTCACCAATTTTCTCCACAGAGGCTGACTTTTTAGATGCAGGAATCCAGTCAGACCACTTGTCACGCTTGCGTATCTGGTCACCCTGTAAAAGTACCATCATTTCAAATTAGGATCCAACAGATAAGATGTACCAGCATTTTATACTGCTTTGATAAACAAAGTAGGCCTTACACCCGTGGAAACCAAGCATGCTCTAAGTTAGGTTAGAATAATCAAAGAGGCTTCTTTAAACTATAATTCAGAGACAAAATTCTAACCCATTTTTTTGGTGATAGCCTCACCACAGTAGAAATACACAGTACAACCGAAGAGAACAAAGTGTTCAAGGAAACAATTTTTTAATACAAAAGCTAATCTGAACCCGAGTCTTAGTAAAACCCCATTCACAAAAGCAAGACTTTAGCATTTAAAGCAGAAAAGAAGAAAGGTGGCTTATGGTGGTCTGACCTGCACTTCAACAGAATTAGAAAACCCCAACGCATAGACAATAAAATCAACATCCATGGTCATTGCTTTAACCTGCAATTCAAGAGCAAAAACAAAATTAAAAGCAACAGATGACAGAATAGACTAATGCAGAAGAAATCAAGTCAAGCTCATGTTACTAATTTTACCCTTTTGAAGCCAGCTATAATTTTTGTGGGAACCCATCCTTCTTCATCCATCAAGGAAATGAGGTAATGATCATTCTCAAGATTTTCATCACTGAAAAGGGAATAAATAAACGGAAGATAATATGAAATTCCTAGAGGCACAATAAAGGAGTAAGCTGAACATAATTTAGAAGCACAAAAAAATTGATGTAGAGAAGCATAACTTGCCTGAAATAATACTCTACTTGTTTTAAGACTCTATCCCTTAAGTCGAGTTTTTCTGGAGATAGTACTGGAGGACCCTGGTTTACAGGGTATGGAGCAAAGCGTGGAGGATAAGGACCTCTTATAGCTCCAGGGGGTGGACCCGGCAAGTAGTATACAGGCCCTGTGTCAAATGAAGAAACAGAAACAGCAATCATACACCAAAAACGAACAGTTATTCTTTATCTTAATGCTAAATATTTTCAAGAGCAAAAGAATTAAATATTTATCAACGGCTCTCAGCCAGTCCCTTTTTAAAACACCTTGACAAAGAATCAATAACTTACCAGGAAAGCCTGGACCTGGACCAACGAGGAACCCAGGAGCTGGACCCATAAATGGAGGTCTCCCGAAATTTCTTGGCCCAGCACCTCCTTGAGGCATGTTTCTGGGGTCAAAACCCCTCTGACGCGGCCAAGGCTTTCCAGGATCCCCTTGAGGAGGTGGCAGCACAGGTGGAAGAGGGGAAGCTTGAACTTGCTTCTCATTGCCAGAGTCCGAAACAGGAGGTACAGGAACCGGGTAGGGAGGATAAGGAGCATATGGAAAATCTGGAGCAGCAGCATGTGGCAGAGGCACCATAGGTGGAAAAGAAGGTGGATGATATGGTACAGCATGCACGAGATAAGGAGGAGGAGGTGGAGGAGGAGGACCATTTTGGTTGCTCCTGGAGCCTGGTTTAGAATGACGGCCAGATGGATTCTTGTGTCCAGGATTATTAGCCTTTCCACCACCCTTAGATTTCGCTTGACCAGCTACAGCCTAAACAACAAACAAAAGATCTTTTAGTGGCAAAGTTTAAGCTCCAAATTCAATGCTAAAAAAAAAAGACTTTTCAGGAGAGTGAATCACAGAAACCACACTAAAAACCCAATTTGATCAACTTGAACCAATCACGAACACAATTGATATTTCAGTATCAGATAACTCTCAGCTCAAACGCACCACTAAATCAGAAATTAATACTCAATAAAAGCACAACATTCGGAACAAAGGCTGTTATTTGTCTAACCTGAGAAGGGATTGGGATAGATGTCGGAATGTTTTTAGACGGCGGTGCAGGTGCAGGTGCAGACGGCGGGGGATTCTTGGGACGCGGTTGTTGCGCAGCATCGGCGAGCGCAGGCCATGAATGAGCTCCCATAACAGGAGCGTCAATAGTCTCAGCAGTAGAAGCCGTTGTTTTCCACGGAGACTTAGTCCCAATAGCACCTTCGCAGCTGATCAATTCTCGATCATCGGCCACTGATCCTTCAGTCTCCGCCATCATCAGAAACTTGGAAAGATAAACAGAATCAAAAGACGGAAGCGATTCAATTGGATCAAAAACGGAACGAGGATTGAAGGATCGGAAGGAGAAGACGCAATGTGACGAAGAGAGGTCGAAGAAGGAGGCAAGTGTGTTGTTTTTGGTGGCGACACTCTTTAAGCGAGACAATGTAACAAACAGTGAAACGTATAACCCCAAAAACCCTAGTTTTACTTACCTCTTTTTTTTTTATATATGGCAATTTCTTCTTTTTCCTATTTAAAATTGGCATAACAAAATATGTATCATGTTTTTTTTTTATTTGTTTCTAAAGAAAAATAGAGAAAACCATTACAAATCTGGTTATCCTTTATGATTAAAAACATCAATTAATTAATTTAATATTTTGGTCTTAGAAAAACATCATTTATGTAGGGTTTTTTTATTTATTTATAAATGCTTTATTTAATTAACCTTAAGAATTTACTCTCGTAAGACCTAGTTATTTATATAAATGCTAAATGGTAGTTAGTCTCCATTAAAGGAAACTTGTCTGAATAGTTGCAGATGATGATGTTGATGAATAATGATGATATGGAATCAACGACAACTTGCGAGGTGAAAAATATATATACTTCCTTCCAAGTTCCAATTATATTGAAGATGAATGAGATTTATGTGAATCTAATTTAAAATGAAATTTCGTCTTTAAAAATATTGGGAGATCTATGAGATCGACATATCAAAATTATGAAAATCTAGAAGATAGATTTGACAATATCTTAATTTAGGAATATTTACATTTACTTTTTTTCTTTTTCTGAAAAAGTATTTTATCGTAATTTATCGAAAAGTGAAATTTCACACTAAGGTGTCTATGGAAGATTTATTGTTCACTTGATAAGATTTCAAACAAACTTATGGGGAATGTCTATATATTGATGAAAATTCAAGTGAGAAAATAAGTTTTTGCAATGATAGTACAATTGTTTAAGAAGATATGAGGTTGGTTTCAAAACTTATTGTCCAAAATAAATGAAAAAGCAAGAGCTGAAATCTTACAATTGAGAATGACCAAAAAACAATGCGAGAAAGCAAAAAAATAAATAAAAATATGATTCAACCTTTAAGGAAAGTACATGACATTCACTTTGTAATGGAACATAAATGACTGCGTCTTATGCATGATCATCAGTTATATTTGACATAATACCGAGATTCAAGATTAGTGAGCATCGGTTACATTGGTTTTCAACATTGGATAATCCATTAAGATCATAATATTGTTGGTCAAGTGATCGTGGCTTTTAGAAGCATGTGGCTTAATGCTAAAGAGATTACTTTAATGGTTGGAAAATGATGATTCTTTGACCATCTCTATTCTAATCCCACCCAATGGGACTTCATAGCCTTTTAATCTACGATACCCGTGTATACTATGATCACTGGCTCTGGCAAGATATTGGGGCACACAGAGTGGCGGCGAGGAGACGATTGACTCATATATAAGTGGCGTGTCCTAATGCTGGCTGAATCCATTTGGTTTCTGACAAACCAATACTCAAGGGTTTATAGGAATTTTAGAAAATTTAGACATTTGAATGTGGTGCACTACCGTATGGGTATCCCTTGAAGCTTAGAAGAATCAACTTGATGTTTTTCAAATATTTTCTATTTTACATGTAACTGGCATAAAAAAAATTGAACAAACTTTTATAAGCATTGTAATGAGAAAGACAAGAAAATGTATGCTTTTTATTGGCTAGCAATTGTGGTCACTATAGGTTTTAGTTTTGTTAAATTCATTTAGTTGAAATATTCATGTCTTTAAAAGACTAGTCATTCGGACTTGAGGTGGGTACTGGGTTTCCAAGTTTCGCCACAATGTGTTGTTAAGTTCTAGCTTTGAGTCAATATCCTACTGAAATTTGAACTTAGACCGTAATACCACATTACCAAATTCAAACGTACTTAATGTTAATAGTTAGTCAAAACAGTTCGCAATCTTTAATGTGCACCAAACTGAATATACTTCACACTAAGTAGAATTGTTAATGAACACACTTATTATTAAACAATAAAGTGTCAAACTTGCAAATGTTGTTCAATAAAGAGAACAAAAATCTTATAATATTGTATATTAAAGTGAAAAGCAAAATCACGGGCTTTATCAACTAGTGGGTTTGAATGGTAACTCATTATCAAAGTGGTATATGGTGTACAACTTTGACAGTTACCAAATCACAAATGTTTTTTTACTAAAAAATGTATTTTCAATTTTTTTATACAACTTTCTTGTACAGCTCTTTCTTACAATTTTGCATTATTTTGAAAAAGCTTACAATTCCAACTAATAGCTAAAAAATTTGTACAACTTTGTATTACCAATCGGACCCAAAGCTTATATAACTTATACTTATCTCACATATTTTTTTTTATCTCTAAATAACCCATATTTTGTACTGCTAATCTTTTTTTTTTTTTTTTCAATTTTGTACTGCTAATCTACAAGTATCACCATTCCAAAATTTAGAAGGATCCTATGAATTTCTGATGTTCGCGAGTTTGCGACAATAATAAAATCAGAAATTAAAAAAGAAAAGAAAAAAAGTGGATAATTATCGCTACTTTTGGACGCCAAGTCACTCGTTTATCCATTTGGTACGGATTTTAATGATCTCTCTCATTCAAGAGCCCTTTTTTATGCAAACCTCTTTTCGCTACCAATGGCATTCTTCGTAATTAACCTCTAACCTCAGGGTCGTTTCTTTATCTCCTCCTCTTCGTCCTCCCTCCATTTTTCTTCACGTCTGGTTCTCTCTCTCTATCTCTCTCCTCTCTTTGTCTCTCTCACTTCTGTGATTTGGGCTTTTTCTCAGATGGGAAATGCGAACGGCAAAGAAGACGACGCTACCGCCGCCGCCAGCGGTGTTACCTCATCTTCGGCGAGATCCAACGGCGGCGATCCTTCTGCACGCAGTCGTCATCGTCGTCCTTCTTCAGATTCTATGAGCAGTTCTCCTCCCGGAAGTCCCGCTCGATCTCCATCTCCTTTCTTATTCGCTCCTCAGGTTTCTTTCTCACTCGATTCTCTCTCTGTGTTTAATCGTTGAATTTGATATCTGTTTTGAATTGAATCGATTGAAACATTCGTCCAAGGATAAAAAAAGTTTCCTCCTTTTGATTTGTTTCGTTGAGTAAGAGAATGTTCGTTCACTTGACTTTTCACTAATTGAGACACTTTCTTCATTTATATAGGATTCTGATACCAAAATCTCCAGCCTTTTTTAAGAGTGAACTCTATTTGTATTCTTGATTTGTTTTCTTTCTGTTGATTCTTGACAAACTTGTTGTTCTTCCTTAGGCTTGTCAACGGGAAAGGTTTAGATTCTTTAGGTTGGTTTTGAGATTCTGTACTAGAGAATCTCTTTTTTTGTTTGCTTATCTTGGTACAGGTATCTTGAGATAATGCATAATGTGGAAAAGTTTCTACCTTTCTTTACGATGTTAATTTGGTTTCCTAGCTATTGTTTCTTTATCTTCCAGCCGGTCTCTAGTCGCTGACACTGCTCTCATGATTCTTGATGTCCCTGAGTGAGTCCTTGTGTAATGTATCTTTACTTTCATTGTGAAGAGCGCAAGCTTGCGAGACTAAGTACTTTTGTGAGTGGAATCTTTTGTATAAATAATTGGACTTGACTCGGTTTTGTCTGTTGGTTCTTGAGAAGTCAAAAACTATGGTAAATGAGAAGTTAGCAAGTTATTCTTCCCTAGTTTTCGTGGAGAGATTTCTATGCCTTTTCTTTTTGGTGAGTTGAAATCTTGTTAATCATGCTAGAGAATCTACTTTAGAGAAGTTCTTTTTTCTTGTCTAGGTTATGCCATGCCTAGTGTGGAAAAGTGTATGCCAGTCAAATAGGATGTTTATTCTCGTCGCTCTAGGTTTCTATGCTCATTTTGACTTTCCTGCTGCTCTTTGCTCATTACCAGTTGCTGATACTGTTCTGTTGATTTGTATGTCCCATCGTGAGTCTTTTGTGTAGTGTCTTTTGCTTTCATTTTGAAGAGGAGCAAGCTTGTTCATTTCTTCGCCTTTTTTGTAATTAAACACGCAGAGCTTGAATTTACTTGAACGAATTACAGATTGTGGATGTTTCGTCATTCTTCTCATTGTTCTTAATTCATAACAGAAGTGAAGGAAAACCTTCAAAATTAGAGATTGTGGATGTTTATCAGGGTTTTGTGGGAATAGTGAAATATCTTTTGCTAATCAGGTCTTGTCTATATGCTAGTAAATATCTAATTCTATTGTTTGCTATATTCATTTTCGACTCCTTTTCTTTTCAGCCCACATTGTTATTCCACGTTACATCTTACAACATTTGCTCACCTATGCGTCACCTCTTCCATTGTTTAGGCATAACATGTGTACCTAATGGCTGCATTTCGTGTCGGATGGTAGATATAATGTTTTGGCATTCGCAAATTCTTCTCGCACATCGGTTTGAAAGATCTCACGGCTCAAGTTTTATGTGCATATCTCAGGTTCCCGTGGCTCCTTTGCAGAGAGCAAACGCCCCTCCTTCACCTAATAACATCCAATGGAACCAATCACAGAGAGTTTTTGATAATCCACCAGAGCAAGGAATCCCTACTATCATTACTTGGAACCAAGGAGGTAATGATGTGGCGGTGGAAGGATCATGGGACAATTGGAGATCAAGGTATAAAGTGGCTTCGTTTCTCGTGGACTTTCTCTTGAGCTTTCCTTATATATGTTAAACATGTAAATTTACATTCACCAGGAAGAAGCTGCAGAAATCGGGAAAAGACCACTCAATTCTCTTTGTCCTTCCATCTGGCATATACCACTACAAGGTGATTGTCGACGGTGAATCCAAATACATCCCAGATTTACCCTTTGTATCAAACGAAATTGGCAATGTCTGTAACATTCTCGATGTTCATGTAAGTTACTATCCCACTTCTTTTTTTTCATGTTAAATCTATCAATCAGCTTAACAGTATCTGCAATCATTATGCAGAACTTTGTGCCAGAAAACCCAGAAAGCATAGTGGAGTTTGAGGCGCCACCGTCTCCTGATCATAGCTACGGTCAAACCCTACCAGCTGCAGAAGATTACGCAAAAGAGCCACTTGCGGTGCCACCTCAGCTTCATCTAACACTTCTTGGCACCACGGAAGAAACAGCAGTAGCCACAAAGCCTCAGCATGTGGTGCTTAACCATGTGTTCATAGAGCAAGGATGGACTCCTCAATCCATAGTAGCTTTGGGTTTAACCCACAGGTTCGAGTCTAAGTACATAACTGTTGTCCTCTACAAACCGCTCACACGGTAACCCTAAAAATTCAGTGCCACATTGTTCTTCTTTTTTTTTTGTTTCATATCTCAATTATGTGAAACCTTTACTTTGTTCATAGTGAGTGCCCAACATTGAGTTTATTAACATCTTTGTTACCGGGTTTGTGGTGCTTGTGTACAAAGCTTCTCTCATTGTAACAAAGAAAAAAACTACCATTTTCGATTGTACTCTTATATATTTCCTGCAAAAACTGTGAAATACATTCTCTAATAATGGGCTTGAGATAACAAGCTTATCGTTTTTTCTTTTTTAGTCAACATTAACTTCATTAGATCAGATTAAGTAGGGGTGGATGAGAGTCTCTCTCTTTCTTCTCTCTCAAATATTTTTCAGAGAGAGAGAGACTATTATCTTTGATCCCGTTAACATGGCTTCTCCGTTGCCATGTTCTTGCCGTCGACATGGCTTTCCCGTTGCCATGTTCTTGCCGTCTACATGGCTTTTCCGTTGCCGTGTATTTGCCGTCGACATGGCTTTCCCGTTGCCGTGTTCTTTTGCCGTCACCTTTGTTAGGTGTTGTTTGTTTGCTTTCAATAAAGGGGATTTGTCTTTCGTCTCTGTTTCTTACAGAGTTTCATGAGATGACACACCTCTCTTCTATGTTCATACAAGTTTTTTATGTTCGTTAGATTTGAAGCGAAGCTTTACCATCTTATGATAAATCAGATCAATTTAGAACCATTGGATCTACGGTTGATTTGTTTATACAAATAGCATATGTTGGTGGCTTTTCTCCGGATCGTTTTGTTGGGTATACGGTTTACAAAAATTTCAGGGATAATTTGCGAAGAAAGTTGAAGAAAAGAAGAATTTTCCTTCGCGATTTTAAGATGCCTTTCAGCCGTGATTACAATTGTTTGGAGTTTCGATTCGTCTTTGGTGAAAATCAGAAGAATCAATGGTCGAATTATAGTTATCGGCGACGATTTTCTTCACCGGAATAGAATCTCAGACGGCGGAGGTTGATGTCGGAAAGCTTTTAGAATTTTCATCCAACACGTGTACGACTTGTTGACACGTTTATTTGGTGAACGACCACTGATAAACATTTCTTCATCTTTAAGTAATATATCTGTATGGGCCTTGTAGGGCTGTAATCTGTTGTAGCTCATTTGTTATGAATAAAATTATAATTAAGAGAAAAAAAAAAAAAGATAACAAGCTTATCTGCTAGCAAGCAAATTCCCTTTTTTTTTTTTTTTTTTTACAAACATTAGCAAATTATATATATGTAAAACATTGGAAAAACGTATGAGTAAATTGGAAAAAGCTAAGCAATAAAAAAAAAAAAAGAATTAGAGTGGCTCATGAGTCCACGTCGTCATTTTGGTGACTAAAAATCAAAATATGGATAAGAGAAATAGCGTGAGAAAAAGTGAGCCACACACACGATGAAGTATGGAGGAAGAAGCGATGAGAGTCTCTCTGCTGTTCCCAATTACTACGCTCTCGAGCTCCTCCGCTCTGCATTGTTGCCGAGACACTATTTCTTCTTCTTCTTCTTCTTCGCTAAGCCAACCCTGTAAATTGGCTTAGCGAAGTAGTTTCATCCTTCTCCCGGCCAATTCGCAGGTTTGTATTCCTGAAGCTCCGTTGACTATTCCATCCAAGAATCAATCGGTAAATTGAAGGATTTGGTCATGACGTGCACAGAATCAAATGTGAATTTTGTAGCTAACTTTTGCATACGATTATTGGTTATGTGCATGCATGAACTATCTACGTCATGATTCTGGAAATTTGGGCTGTTGCTGTAAAGCTTTGCCATTGCATTGTTTTTGCCTTGTCTTTATCACATCTGATGCCATAATACTGTTCGTATATATATTTGACTGTTTCTTTGTCCCTTTTGCATTTAGTTTCTGTGAATCGAATAAAAGAAACACTTTGTTGCCTCTTCTGTTGGAGATTAAATTCTAACATGGACATTACATTTTCGAAGATCAAGAGGTGAAAATCTGAGTGTGATGAGTGAGCCAAAGGCCAGGCGTTGGGTTGGAAAATATGAGCTTGGAAGAATGATTGCCGAATGTTCTTTTGGGAAAGTGCGGAGTGCTGTTGATACTCAGACAGGAGACCCCGTGGCTCTGATGATCCTTCATAAAGACAAGGTCCTCAAGCATAAGATGGCTGAACAAGTAATTCGAATTTCCATTTTGGCATCCAGCTTTTTTTCACAGATAGATCTATCTGTCTTCAATCTAGAATTATGATGTGGGTCTCTCCCGTTTGCTTTTACAGATAAAGAGAGAGATTTCTACCATGAAGCTGATAAACCATCCTAATGTCGTGTGCCTGTATGAGGTCTATCTCCATGCCCCAGCTTGCTCTATGTGTCTCTGTTTTCCTTTGATTACCCAGAAATTAACAGCTCTTTGGACTCTGTTGAAAGCTCATTTTTTTAAGGAAATAATTGATATCATTCCAGGTTTTGGCGAGTAAGATGAAGATATATATTGTCCTAGAGTTCATCAGTGGTGGAGAGCTTTTTGACAGAATTGTGAGTTTTCCCTCTTCCTCCCAAGGGCCTTAACTTGTATCTGATACATCCTTAGGTGTTTGAACCATGCATCAGCTTAGAAAGTCCTGTATCTTACAGGTGAAAATATATTAACATTGATGTTAACCAATGCATTAAATTTGAACTTGTGAAGAAAAATGATGGACGCATGAAAGAAGAGGACGCACGGAGATATTTCCAGCAGCTTATCAATGCAGTTGATTACTGCCACAGCAGGGGATTGTACCACAGAGACTTAAAGGTACAAGAAACATTTTTGGTAACTCATACGCCAAGTTTGCAGTGTGATTTCTTTTGAGTGAAGCTAGTTGGTGCCTAAATTTCTTCTTCTTTACTTCTCTCAATGCAGCCGGAAAATTTGCTTCTTGATGTGCAAGAGAATTTGAAAGTCTCTGACTTTGGATTGAGTGCCTTGTCCCGACAAGTCGGGGTAACCCTTGAATTTCTTAGCATTATTTTGTTTGCCTGAGTTCCTACTTATTTGTCCTTGGCTTATTCTAATGAATGTGCCTGAAGTTCAGTAATGATGTTTTCATTGATTATATTAACAAATATCTATAAGACCTGTAACACTGATCTTTCTAGATTCTCAGCTTATCAGAATTACTTGGTTTTGGCAGGGTGATGGCCTTCATCACACTGCATGTGGAAATCCAAATTATGCTGCTCCTGAGGTATGCTTAGTCATGTGGCTTGTTATGCGATTGTTGAACCATGTCTTTAATAGCTTCCTTGTTGCCTTTGTCGCAAGGTTCTTAATGATCAAGGCTATGATGGGGCAAAGGCAGACTTGTGGTCCTGTGGAGTGATACTCTTTGTACTACTTGCTGGGTATTTGCCTTTCGAGGATTCTAGTCTCACGACGCTGTACAAAAAGGTAAGAAGTTTTGTAATAATTTTCAGGCTTCTTCGGTTCTTCCTCACCATTATCTGTGATTACTGTTTCTAAGTAGCATTTTTGTTTTCAGATCTCATCTGCTGATTTCAGTTGTCCTCCTTGGCTCTCTTCTGGTGCTAAGAATTTGATCGTCCGAATCTTGGATCCAAACCCTATGACTGTAAGATATTTCGCTTTACTACTGGCCTACTGCTTTCAAGATTTAAATGTACTTTTTTTGTTTTCTCATTTTGCTTTTTTTTATAAGACCATTAGGCGGGTTAGGGGTTACTAGGAATCTGGTGGAAATTTTATGCCTGAGCGCTAATGGAAAGCTTGAAGAGATCATTCAACATAGACATAGTGGCATTCATAGTGTTGGTCTAATCTCTAAAGTGTAAATTTAAGCGTTCCAAGTAATCGACAGACGTGAAATCATAATTGGGAATCTTAAACTCTGCAATTCTTGCTGACTCTTTCCTTTCCTTTCCATTCCTGAAATGAGCTACTCGTAGTAGATTATCACTTTTTAAAAATGTAAAAAAGTTGTATACCCCTCCTTTAATTGTAGTCCCATGGATAAGCGCATGTTAAGAGTCATACAAAGCGGATGCTTTATCTGTGTCTTGCATGTAGAATTTGAATATCATTCAGAACATCTGCGGATATAGAAACGCCACTCGTCCTTGATTTCAAAAGTGGAACTAATTCATTGTGTTAACATGCCAGCGTATAACAATTCCAGAGATTTTGGAAGATGTGTGGTTCAAGAAAGATTACAAGCCAGCTGTATTTGAAGAGAAGAAAGAAGCAAATTTGGCTGATGTGGAAGCTGTTTTCAAAGATTCTGAAGTGAGTCATTTTATCTATTCTGAGATCTGTTGGATGATTGAGTTGAAGGGTTTAGTCAGCTGGAAATAATCACTTAAATTCCGCACTTGTTTAGGTGTAGAGCATCTGATTCAATAATATCAAGAGTCTCTGATCTTAACCCAAATTTCGGGTTGGAATTGTGCAATGGTTGTCATATTATTTTCTCTTGTTTGAAAATATGAAGACATACTTGAGATAACGTACGACTTTGCTTCACAGGAAGGGAGAGTGCAACTGAGGTCATTTCCTTGTGTGATATGTTCAGGTGGTACTACTTGTGGAGATGTTCGTTCAAGGACCAAGCTGATGAACGGCTTGATAGAACGAGGGAGACCTCAAGAAGCTCATTCCATTTTCAACACACTTATTGAGGAAGGCCACAAGCCAAGCATCATCACATACACCACGCTTGTAACTGCATTAACCCGTCAAAAGCACTTCCACTCTCTCCTCTCCCTCATCTCCAAAGTCCAGAAAAACGGCCTCAGACCCGACACCATTCTCTTCAACGCCATCATCAACGCCTCTTCCGAATCTGGAAATCTCGATCAAGCAATGAAGATCTTTGAAAAAATGAAGGAAAGTGGATGTAAACCCACAGCAAGTACATTTAATACTCTCATTAAAGGATATGGAAAAATTGGTAAGCTAGAGGAATCGTCAAGACTCCTGGAGATGATGTTACGGGATGAGATGCTCCAACCAAATGACAGAACATGTAACATACTTGTCCAGGCTTGGTGTAACCAGAGGAAGATTGAAGAAGCATGGAACATTGTATATAAGATGCAATCTTTTGGGGTAAAACCTGATGCAGTCACTTTTAACACATTGGCAAGAGCGTATTCGCGGATCGGGTCAACATGTACAGCTGAGGATATGATCATACCAAGGATGTTACACAACAAAGTTAAACCGAATGTACGTACCTGTGGTACCATTGTGAATGGCTACTGTGAAGAGGGAAAGATGGAAGAAGCTTTGAGGTTTTTCTATAGAATGAAGGAACTTGGAGTTCATCCAAATCTGTTTGTTTTTAACTCTCTAATCAAAGGCTTTCTTAACATCAACGACATGGATGGAGTTGGTGAGGTGCGCTTTATAGTTTATAAACTTTCAATAATTTTTCATTCACATCCGTTTGTCTAATTTTAAATATTGGCATGCTAATATAACAGGTGGTGGATCTGATGGAAGAATTCGGAGTAAAACCTGATGTGGTAACGTTTAGCACTCTAATGAATGCATGGAGCTCTGTAGGAGATATGAAAAGATGCGAAGAGATCTATAGAGATATGTTGGAAGGAGGAATAGATCCCGACATTCATGCATTTAGTATCCTTGCCAAAGGGTATGCTCGAGCTGGAGAGCCCGAAAAGGCGGAGCAAATCTTAAATCAGATGAGAAAATTTGGTGTTCGCCCAAATGTAGTGATCTACACACAGATCATAAGTGGCTGGTGTAGCGCGGGTGAAATGAAGAAAGCGATGCAGGTATATAACAAAATGCGTGGAAGCGTTGGTTTATCGCCTAACTTGACTACGTACGAGACTCTTATATGGGGATTTGGGGAAGCTAAGCAGCCATGGAAAGCGGAAGAGCTTCTGAAAGAAATGGAAGAGAAGAATGTTGTTCCCACAAGGAAAACTATGCAACTCATAGCTGATGGATGGAAATCTATTGGTGTCTCTAATAGTAATGATGCCAATACATTGGGATCTTCCTTCTCAACTTCCTCCAAACTCAACATCCCAAATAACATCGCTTCGTCGAGAAGTCCATTGTTTTCAAAAGGAATGCCTGAAAAACCAAAGCTATGTATCAAGTCTCAGTTTGGTTTGAGGCAGAGTGTTTTTGTGGTGTTGTGCAGAGACCAGATTGGGGAAGCTGGGAGATTTTGCAAGTTCATGTAGACTTTGTTTTGCTTTAGAGATGGAGCTAAATTTAAGGGTAAGAAAGGCTAACCAAAGATTGGTGTCGATCGTTTTTTCAAGGTAAAGAGGAAGCAACCAATACATTTTTCTGTACAAATATATATTTTCAGTTAAATGGAAAATATGGTGTTGAAGGGTTTAGTTATGGTTGGTTTAAGGATGTAATTAAAACTTAAAGAGACAACAATTGCGTTTCAATATTTTTTTTAAAGGCGAGGAGATAACAATAATATGATGAAAAATGTGTTTCAAGCTCCCATCCTCATCTACATATACATTTTTACAGGGGATTTTTGCAAAAAGTCTTTTGGATCCGGGTTTTATCCGGGATTAACTATATTCGGATCTAGGATAAGGATTTTTAGGAATGTTGTCTTAAAACCACATTAATTCTTAATTAACACCTAAATTGGAAATATATATAATATATCTAAACTAACCATATTTGTTAATTACCTTAACTACTTCTAACAATAATTATTTAACTATTTATTTCTATATAGAAAGAATATGTGATTAAAATAAATATTTTGTAAAATATTGATTTGGGAAAAAATTGTTCTTACGAAAATAATTTGTTTTGTTATAAAAATTAATATTTGTTATTTGTAATTAAATTACATAAATAATAATAATAATTTGTCTACACCATCAAATGAAAATAGTTAGTTATTTAATTTTTTTTATTTAATATTACGTAATTTAAAAAAAATAAATTCAACAATATAATGTCAATGGGTTTAATTCTTAAGATTTGAAAATATTAAAAAAAGATACTAACCAAAAATTATCTATCCTAATTTGTTTCTAACAATTTGGACACAAATATTTCAAATCTTTCGAAAATTTAATGTGATCACATTTGTTACTAAAATCTCGATTATATTCCTAAAATCTCGAGAAGATCTTCCTTTAAATCCGCAAATTAGAATTTTTGAATTAAATAAACTAACAATACGAATATTCCTAATATATTCGAGTACTAATAATCCTTATTATAGTATATTCCTTATCTAAATACTAAATCTTTTATTTTTAATTCTAATCAAAATTTATGAAATCGGAAATCAATCATGATTTCTTAAACATCCTTAAATTTCGAAATAATCAACAATTCGAATATGCTGAAAATCATAACGAAATATCTTTATTTACTTAAATGTTTTAGTAATCGTTATAGCAAAAAAATCAATTCCAGCGCTATTGGTTCTTTAAACTTTTTGATTTACATAGATATTTTGTATTCCATAATTAACTCATTAAAATCTTTGATTTAAATAACTACAATGTGAAAATTAGTATATGTAATAAATATAACATATAATATTTACGAGATTTTCATATACTTGATCCCCAACCCAAATTGGCGAATATATTATTTCTCATAAAATATCTTTAAAAGATTTTTTTGTTTCGTTTAGATATTATTCAACAAACTTCCTAAAACAAATGGAAATATCTTTAATTAGCTTTCCTCATTCATAAATCCCACCATGCATATAGACGTTATTCAGTTGATAATACAAAATCAAATATATTAGGAATCAAATATATAATTTTCGAATATTTGCAAAATTGTTTTAATTTGTAGGTCAAACCTAAACTTCTCGAGTACTTTTCATTCATCTATATAAAGAAGATCTTTTCAACCATTGATCCACAATACTAAACGTTTTCGTAATAGAGATTTATATGGCTTCTTTTAAACAATGTTCTTAGTACATTTTATATTTCACGTTTGTTTTCTTTTAAAAAGTTAATTGTCACCTACTTTTCTTATGTTGCAGCTTTCGATTTTAAGATCTTGGAAACTATGGACATCATCATCTCCGTCTCCAAAGAAACTATCAAATAAAGTATGCATTAAAAGGTTAGTTAGTCCTTCTTCTTATCTTCAGATACAAATATTTTAATGTCCAGTATTTTTTTACATTTTCAGAATTTCATGTTTCCTCATAATGATTGTAAATGATTTTCTTTTATAGGCTAACATAACAAGTCCATTCTATTAATTCAATTTCTTTAACGAAAAAAGGAAACAAATTTGTTAATAAAATAAAGTTCTTATTCTTAATTTTGATTATTCTAATGTTATGTATTTTAATTGTTTTTATGATATATACTTTACAAAAACCTGTGGATCCGTGTTTTGGTTGGTAAGTGTAATTTTTCTAATCTTTTAAAACCTTTTATAACAATTACATGTTTTATATGGTTAAAAATCACATCATATATATTTTATTTTCTTATCCAATGTATTTCATGTTTAATGTTTTCTAATACTTTTTTTTATGTATATTTTGGTTTTGACTAATTTTATATATAAGTTCTTAATTTAATCTATTAAAGTTTCCAAAGAAAACATTTTAAATATAAGTTCTTAATTTAATCTATTAAACTTTATTAAAAGTAAAATATTATATTTATTTAAACTTTTTAAAAAGTTTAATTTTATAAAACGTTGTAAATATTTATAATATTAGGAATTTTATAAAGTTTCAAATATTAAATAGTTGAATTTAATAATAATTTATAAGAAATTTAAACATTATAAATATTTACAAAAGATACGGGACGATATATTACGGGTGAAATCCTAGATATAACAATCAAAATACTATTATGAATTTTGGGTCGATATTAAATGAAGTTTCAAATATTAGAAATCTTTGAATTTTATTGAAAAATGACAAAATGATGTAGATTGGACGGGACAGAGTTATATGGTCGCGGACGAGTTTGTGGTCGATATTAATACAGTATGATATACTACGGGTAAAATCCTATAAGTAACAATCAAAATATAACTATACAATCTTAAACACTAAACAAAACTAAACAAATAATATTAACAAAACAAATAAAACTTCAAATTTTAAATCTTTTGTTATAAATATCGTCATACAGTGTACCATACATTTAAATCAAATAAAACAATAGCATATATCTATAGATCATCTTAAAAAAAAAAATTTATTATTATTTAATAAAATTATAGACCCGCGGTGTACCGCGGGTTAATATCTAGTTATCGACAAAATCAATTGTGTCTCCAACTGGAAAACGTTTTACCTACACAATAAAGGGACTATATAGGAGACAGCTCTTACCATCAGGCTCCTTGTGATTTACAAATGCACCAAACTAATCAATGGGTACAAAGTTGTCCTTTCTAGCTTCTTCAACCTCTGAATCACCAATCTACTTAACAATCCAAATAACTTAGTTAATTATGTTGTGCAGAGAGACGAGTCAAGCTCCATTGAGTCTCCAGCAGCAGCTTCATCTATCGAGAGAATAGCCAGGTGATTAGCCGCTTCATGATCCTCAGAGGTAACTACTAGAGTAGAAGGTTCTGGACTCAGAATGTGACCGTTGAAAGTGGAGCATCCCGTAGTATCCTCATAAGTAATCTTAGGCGTATTTGGTATAAGAACATGTGAACTCAGATTCTGACCGACGAGACTGAAGCATCCCGTAGCCTTATCAAAGCATCTTCTAACAATAGCAATGCGATCAAGATCGTGAGCAAGGTTAGACTTGTACAAGTAGTCCTTGTACCTAATGTAGAAAACAGCATTTTTGGCATAGAGTCCTTGTTCATCATCAATGGCCACGTCTAGAATCTCCAAGTTGGGAAGACCAAAATCCTTAGCTTCCCTGTACCTATGAGTAGTGGCAACAGCAAGTTGCAAATATAGAAGAACCCAAGCATTCTCTTGCAGCTCAGATTCCTTCACCTGAAGATGAGAGAAGAAAAACATATGTAACATTGTAATAGTGTGTAAAAAGGATATCATCGTCCTTACCAGGTAATATGTTTCAAAAGGATTCTCTAGCGGGCACTTAGGGAAGCTATGATCTATCATCAAAAACCCTTTGCCATCTCTTGTTTCCCCTATACAAAAAAAAAGATTCAGAATTTAATACCAAAATTAATAATGATGCAAAGCCAATCCAGAATAACCAACCTCGAACTTTTGCAATATGGCAATCGAGAATAAATTTGCCAAAACTATGTTCTGATACTTTAGTCTGGAAAGTGACAAGGGCACCAGCAGGATCAATTGCATCCAAAGTAATGTAGTAAGAAGAAGCAGCAGAACCAGTGGACATAACGTATTGCTTTACGCGACTCAGCTCAAACTTTGTACCCTGCTGAGAGAAGAACAACTTGTTAAGAAATTGAATTGTAGCATCACAAAATTCTTTTTTTTTTTTTTTTTTTAAAAGTAGAGAACCTGGACGAAATTGTAACGATGGAGGCCCATCTTAGCATAGAAGAAGACCAAGGCAGGACAAGGAAACCGTTGATTACAGACTTGTACCATATATCCGTGCGTAGAAGCCTTGAGATCGTAAGCCTAAGAAGAAGAAGAAGCAGCAGCAGATGATTTGAATCTCTTCAAATTAAACAAGGGGAAAGAAAGATGATGAAAGAATTTACTTACACCACCGCATCCTAGAGGACTCCGCCGCATGATTCCTCGCACGTTGATTTGAGGCCTCCATCGCAAAGTATTCGCGTTGATACTCCATTATTATCCGATTTAGGTTTTAGGTTTCAGGCGATGATGATGATTGATTGATGATGCTTTTTTTTCTTCTTTCTTTTTCGCTTTTGGTGATTTATCCATCTTATTTATGGGCTTTATTTGGGCCTTCACAATCCAATAAGAAACCCAAGATGACACGGTGATGACTGATGAGGATGCTTTTGATTGCTTTTGATTTCAAACATGTTTGAAGCTGACCCTCATAAACTAAGAAATTTATTGATATATATATATATTTTTTTTTGGTGAGTTATTGATATATATATATAAGTACGATATTTTTCATGTAAATAACAATAATGTTGGCGATGTTGCATAATCTCGTTTTCGTTGATCAATTCTCTTACTGGTATTTTAAGCACCTAGACTTCCTTGGCGGCCAAGTTTTAGAACATTGCTTTAAGATAAACAACCGAAATTAAATTAAGAGAATAAAAGAGAGATAAATAATTGTCATAAGGATGAGCAAAATATGAGTTCATACTTCACATAACACTAAAACCAAACAAATAAAAAAGGGAAAGAAGCAAAAGATGTCCTAAAGAACGCAACCAGAATCAAGTCATAATGAAACTTCACTGTAGAAATAATAAATCTTGTTTCTTTTTTATGGGGATAAAATTCTCTCACTTAGCCATCATGACTTTGACGAATTCTTCATAGTTGATCTGACCATCGCCATCAACATCCGCTTCTCGGATCATCTCATCAACTTCCTCATCGGATAGCTTCTCCCCGAGATTTGTCATCACATGTCGAAGCTCTGCTGCAGATATGAAACCATTCTGGTCTTTATCAAAAACCCTAAAGGCTTCCTTCAGCTCTTCCTCTGAATCAGTGTCCTTCATTTTCCTTGCCATCAGGTTCAGGAACTCCGGGAAATCTATGGTCCCGTTCCCATCTGCATCAACTTCATTGATCATGTCTTGTAGCTCAGCTTCTGTTGGGTTTTGCCCCAAAGACCTCATCACGGTTCCGAGCTCCTTGGTGGTGATGCATCCTGCAACCAGATTCAGGTATAAGCTTTATAGACAGACTTATTATATCCACAGTCCGGGTTCATACAGCAGTTCCATATATGTTTTGAGACGATTAAGTTAAACGAACCAAATACGTATCATGTCAAGATCCCAAAGGAAAAAGCAAAACAAACAAAAGTCATTGCATTTCTTATTTCAATCTGGAAAGTAAAAAGAGAATGATTTCTTATTTGAAAGAAGCTCTACTAAGTTAACAAAAGAAACTTCATTTATAAACACTAGAAATAAACACTATTCCAAGTCTACCTAAAGTGTCAGGGTAAAAGAAATACTCCATATTTCCTTATGTGTATTGTACTAGCAAATCAAGAGACAATATTCTTTTCCAGATCTCTTTACATGGTATCAAAAGCCAGAATCAAAACCCTAGCCACTTCGTTCCATTTAAGAATGAAGCAACACAACATAATTTTGCAAGTTTTTCACCAATCAGAGCAATATATTCCGAATATCTCTTTGCTTTTTGGTATAATCAAACTACTACGAATGATATTTAGTTTTACTTAAAGACATAGAAAAATCTACAACATCAATCCATTTTCAACAATTATCCTTCAATATACTACTCAAACTCTCAACATATGGATAAATTTCATAAACCATTTCATTGCTACATCACGAGAACAGTTTGACAAAAAAAAAAAAATGGTCTCGATTCGATTGTTCATATCTACGATTAGCATTGACTAGCGAAATACGGGACGAGTCATGAATCGTTATCGAATATGCCAAAAGCTAGATCGATCGTTCAAGAATTCAAGTGAAACAAACACGAATTATCATAAATCTGTCAAACAAATTCAACAACTCAACACAAGTAAACACGAGAAATCATCGGGGAAAAAAACGCAAAGATCTGTGAAAGAAACATACCATCACCATCCTTATCGAAGAGGCTAAAGGCTTCCTTGAACTCTGAGATCTGGTCATCGGTGAGCTGATCCGCCATTTTCCTTCTTACCTTTTCTACAAAATTTTGCTACTGAATATTATTTGCCTCTCCAATAAATAATAATTCAGCAAGAGCTTGATGCTTATAAATGAGAGAGAGCCCATCAACATAGAGTTGGGCCTCTAAAGATCAAATTCTTTATGATTTTTGTCTTTTTTTAGTTTTAGAGTTTTTTTAAGACATTTGTAAGAAACTTGCTTTCTTCAAATTTGTTTTTGTAATAGTTTTGTAACCTATGCAATTAATTTAGACTTACTAGGTAATTAATCTATCAAATTAAGATTTATTAAATCTTGCTTACTATTTTCAAAACTGATTTAGTATAATATTTTATTAATATATATCAATTAAATTTGTGACATTTACTTTTTCATTTAAATATTGACTTATAAAAAGTTTTTTTTAACTAGGATAGATATTTAAGGATACTAGAATAATTCAAAATGTTATAAAGGTTTAGAATCTGTTGAAAATTAACATATGGATGCATGTAGAATGATGAGAGTATCCTCCAAATTTACGTTGCATGGAATTAGAAACGGGTATGTGAAAGCGAAATTTTCACTTGAATAATTTTTTTATAAAAGTGGATAAGTTTGATCGATTTTTACATTTTTTATGAAAAATAAGTAATCTGTAGATTTTTCAATTAAACTGTGTTCAAATTTCTTTTTTTTTGCTTTTTAATATTAAAAAGGAGTGTTCGCTTATTATAATATATGAAGTCTCATTCTACACTTCTAGAATTTATCCAATCGCTAGAGATGAGTCTAATGAGCTTTTGCCATGATGATTTGTTTAGTGTTCTAACAATAGTCAGGCTATAACCATTACACAAAACGGTTGCAATGTATGACTTTTGTTGAACTTTGTAGTAACTAGTTAGTGAGAGTGAAGCAACAGTTTTTCTTTCTTACATAAAAAACTCATATATATATACTTAAGAGTATATAGTAGTGGTAATCACAACCATTTTTTAAAATGCTATCTAACAAAAATATATGAATTTCATCGATTACTTTCCCGTTAAGTATGAATGTAGAAACAGATAAAATGAGGGAAACAAAAACTATTAATTAGGTCTATATCTAGTCAAAATCTGAATACTCAAATCTTTTGTCATTACAGTAATTAACCCAAAATAATTGACCAAAAAAAGCAAAAAAACATAATTTTATTTCTTAAGAAAATTGAATACCTTACAAAGGAAAGAAATGAAGTATTATTGTCCCATACGAAAAAAAAAAAAAAAAAAAAAAAAAACCCAAGTGTCCATTATATGAGAGAGTCCCTACACGAAATTAAATTAGTTTTTGTCTGGTAGCTACAACATTTCTACAATCATCATCGTATCTTTCGTCACATCTCCATCTCTTCTTTCTCTTCCTCACCTTCTTATTATTATTAACTTAGCCCTTTTTTTTTTTTTTTTTTTTTCTCCTGTGATAAGCGAATTCTGCGCCATAGATTTTCTTTGAATTTCTTCCTCTAACTCTTAGTTCCCCAAAGGCTACATCGGTTTTGTCACCTCTACTTGCTCACTTTTCTCCGGCCAATTTTGCAGGTTTGTTGTTGGTTTCTCCATGTTTTTGCTTCGAATTCGATGAGCAATTCGGTAACTTAGAGAGTTTAAATTACTTGCTTACGCTTCTGATCTCTGTGTAGAGTGTGTATACTCTGTATATATATGATGATGATGATGATGATGATGATGATTGATGATGATGAGTTTGTTAGCTAACTCGAGAATCTCGCTTCAATTGTGTACACATGATTATTGGTTTAGTGGAGGATTTGAATTTGTAGATGTTTTTTGGAGTAACTAAAACGGATGATCGGAATTTCCGGAGAAAAGCTCCGCTGCTAGATTTGGCATCACCTTGTGGATTTCTTGCAGCTGTTTTTGCGCTTTGTCTTTATCGAATTCTGTGGCATATTACTCTTCTTTTTACTTGACGGTTTCTTTTACTTTTTTTTTTTTGCATTTAGTTTCTGTGAATTGAGAAAAGAAACACTATCTTCTTGCCTGATGTTATGTTGGATTCTTTACATGGAATATTTCTTATATAGAGATTACATTTTCCAGAACACAGCTTTTGAAGATCAAGGAGTAATGAATCGGCCAAAGGTTCAGCGTCGTGTTGGAAAGTATGAGGTTGGAAAAACGCTTGGACAAGGCACTTTTGCCAAAGTGCGGTGTGCTGTTAATACTAAGACTGGAGAACGTGTGGCTCTCAAAATCCTTGATAAGGAGAAGGTTCTCAAGCATAAGATGGCTGAACAGGTAACTCTCTTTCCTAATTAGCAGATTCGCCCGTTTTCGTTTCTAGATGCATCTTCGATCCATAAGTATGATGTGTGTCTTCCCCTTTTCTTTTTACAGATAAGGAGAGAAATTTGTACTATGAAGCTAATAAACCATCCAAATGTAGTGCGGCTGTATGAGGTCTATCTCCATGTCCCCACTTTTCTCTATGTGTCTCTATTTTTCTTTAGCTTTCTTTTGAGCTCTTTGTATGTGAAGCCAATATGCTGAAAGCTAACTTCTATGAAAATAATCGATACTGTTCCAGGTTTTGGCGAGCAAGGCTAAGATATATATTGTCCTAGAGTTCGGTACTGGTGGAGAGCTTTTTGACAAAATTGTTAGTTTTCCTTAATCCCTCCCAACGGATTTATAATTTGTACATAATGTATCTATCTATTGGTGTTCCTGTATTTTACAGCTGAAACTTCTTCTTATCTCTGACGTAAACATAACCCTTGCATTGTGCGTTGTGAAGGTACACGATGGGCGCTTGAAAGAAGAGAACGCACGGAAATATTTTCAGCAGCTTATCAATGCAGTTGATTACTGCCATAGCAGGGGAGTGTACCACCGGGACTTAAAGGTATGAGAATTTTTGGTAAATCTTGGGCCCAAGTTTGCAGTATGTGTTTTTAAAGTCCAGCTAATTGATGCTTACAATCTCACTGCAGCCGGAAAACTTGCTTCTAGATGCTCAAGGAAATCTGAAAGTCTCTGATTTTGGATTGAGTGCGTTGTCCCGACAAGTCAGGGTAACCACTGAATTTTAATTTTCTTTCTTCGCATCCTTTTGTTACCTGAATTTATACTGATTTGTCCATGTCCCATTCTAATGAATGTGCCTGTAGTTCAACAACGATGTGTATCCCTGGCTGTTTTTACATATATCTAATAAGCTGTGAACACTGATCTTTCTAGTTTCTCCGCTAATGAAACTTATTTGGTCTTGGCAGGGTGATGGTCTTCTTCACACTGCATGCGGAACTCCAAACTATGCTGCTCCTGAGGTATGCTTAGTCATGTGTCTTGTCATGCCGTTGTTGCACCATATTACTAATAGCTTCCTTGCTGCTCTTGTCACAAGGTTCTTAATGATCAAGGTTATGACGGGGCAACCGCAGACTTGTGGTCCTGTGGAGTGATACTGTTTGTACTACTTGCTGGCTACTTGCCTTTCGAGGATTCTAATCTCATGACGCTGTATAAAAAGGTAAGAAGTTTTGTCATTTTTTCAATGCTTCTTCCTTCCCCATTATCTGTGATTACTGTTTCTATGTTACACTTTCGTCATTTTTCAGATAATAGCTGGTGAATTTTATTGTCCTCCTTGGCTCTCTCCTGGTGCTAAGAACTTGATTGTCCGAATCTTGGATCCAAACCCTATGACTGTAAGATATATCAGTTTATTAATGCTTTCAAGATTTAAATCGATCCCTCTTTTGTTTTCTTCTGTCGAACCCCACAAGGCAACAATCTTGTCTTGTTGTTATTCTTAGACACTTAGGTGGGCTAGGGCTTACCAGGGATCAGGGGGAACATTTGCTTGAACACTACTGGAAACTTGAGAACATAGTTGCATTTTATTGTTTGTCTTGTGCTATTTTTAGCATTAGTTTAATATCAAAAATATATAGTTCTTCATATTTAGGCATCATTTACTATTTTGTAAATGGAGTGATATCGTGAAAGCATGGTTATTGACTTTGAAAATTTATCCATAGTGTTGGGTTAAACTGTACGTTTCTGTGTCATATAAATAAATAATTTCCGTTCTAGTTGACTTTTTTCTTCTGGAGATATCTACCTGAAATGAGCTTCTGCTAGTAAATTTTATCATAATCTTTCTAAGTTGCTCAAAAGTTTACGACTCTCCTGCATTTGTTTAGTTATATACATAGCAGATTATGATAGATATTCAGTTATGATTTGGTGAAGATTGATTGAGATTGTTTGATTAGTATCTTAATAATGTGATATATAACTAAGGGATTATTTATGTGTTTTCTTTTCTGGGTTTTGGGGGTTTTCCTATTTAATAAACTCTTGAATAGCAATAGGGTAATAATCGGATTTCTTCTGACAACAAGAGTTTGGGAATTCTTTGTATAAAGTTTTCCTTGTGGGGGAGTTTACGTTTGTAATCTCTTTTATATACTTTTTATATCAAAGTATTTCTATATTTCCTCTTAGACTCTTTATTACTTTTATTTGTGTGTTTTGCATGTAAAACTTGATAATTTAAAGCATCTGAAATAAACTAACGCCATTCGTCCTTAATTTCATCGGCGGAACTAATTGACTGTGCGTTAACATGACAGCGTATCACAATTCCTGAGGTTCTGGAAGATGCGTGGTTCAAGAAAAATTACAAGCCAGCTGTTTTCGAGGAGAAGGAAGAAGCCAACTTGGATGATGTGGACGCTGTTTTTAAAGATTCAGAAGTGAGTCTTACTTATTTAGTCTGCGATCTATAAGATGAATTTACTGTTTTTTCCTTTTTTCAAGTTACTTGAATAAATGTAAATAACAGCGTGTGATTTATTAACAGGAGCATCATGTCACAGAAAAGAAAGAGGAGCAACCAACTTCGATGAATGCCTTTGAGTTGATATCAATGTCGAGAGCTCTGGATCTCGGGAATTTGTTTGAAGAAGAAGAGGTGTGTCTCTAAACTTAACATGCTTATTTGCTTAAATCCTTGAGCAAACACTCATTTAGTATGACTTGACATTATCGATACAACTTTTCTCATGATAATAGCGGATATTTGGACCGTGCTAGGGTTCAGTCTTGTCACATTATTATATTTTCACTAATGAAGTCTATACTGTTTAACTTACAGGGATTCAAGCGAGAAACGAGATTTGCAGCTAAAGGCGCAGCTAATGATTTAGTCCAGAAGATTGAAGAAGCTTCTAAGCCGCTTGGTTTTGATATTCAAAAGAAAAACTATAAGGTAATTCGATCGTGTGAAACCCTAACAGCTATGGGCATCGTCTTTTCCTTAACTTAGATGGCTTCCTGTTAGAGTTAAGAATCACAAACACAAGCAAAAAAAGACTCACTCCCTCGGTATAAACTGATGAACTCTAACCTCACCAACAAGTTCACTTATAGAAGGACTACCTATTAGAGTAGAAAATGAAGGTCCTGATTAACATATTATCACGCTCATTGCTCACTTGCTGCGGTGTGGAAGTTTCCTTTAATGGATATCGAGTTATTTTAATTATCACTGAAGCGCTACTTTTATACACAGATGAGACTTGAAAACGTGACTGCTGGAAGGAAGGGAAACCTAAAAGTTGCAACTGAGGTACATTATGATGCACTCATGGCTCTTTTCTGTTATGAAATTAGTATCTGAATCCGAATTGGCATGGAACTAAAGAAGTGACCTTGTCTATATAATATTTTGTAGATATTTCAAGTATCACCGTCACTTCATATGATCGAAGTCCGGAAAACTAAAGGGGATACATTAGAATTCCATAAGGTAAATAAGGAAGGACATCCTCTTTTTTGACGAATGAGTTAATGTTCTTTCGAGGACCACTACTTATATCTCTGTTCCTCTACTTTCTTTGCAGTTCTACAAGAAGCTCTCGACCTCACTTAACGATGTGGTTTGGAAATCTGGCGAGAGCTCTGGTCTAAGCAACTAAGAATAGACTGATTCAAGTCCTGCTTATGACTATCCTTATTTAGCTTTTGCTTTCTGATACTTTTTTTTTTTTTTCAAGACTCAATTCTTTTAAATATTAGAGACAAAAACCCATGAGATTGACTCTGTACATATCGAAGCATGTGCAGTAACATTATGCTGTTCATATCATTGCAAACTTCGATTGTGTTGTGTCAAACATTTTGTCCAAATGGCTGCTTCTATAACTCGGTTTATTTACTACTATTACATTCGACAACGTTCGTAAGAAAGTCGTGAGTTAAAAACGACATCGTTTCGAAAATAATTTGATATCACAAAAAAATAAAATAAAAATCGCCGTTGCCGGGGATCGAACCCGGGTCACCCGCGTGACAGGCGGGAATACTTACCACTATACTACAACGACCTTGTTGTTACAGGAACGTACTTTAACATGTCTTACTTTAGTTATTGTCGGGACCTGTGTTATTTATTTATCCACTTGAGAGATTTCTATGGTCGATACAATTTGGTATCCGTTATCAACTAGAATTCGAAATATTGTGTGAACCTTGGAGCTATGGCTTCCTTATCGACGATAACTCAACCGTCTTTAGTGCACATTCCCGGCGAATCCGTCCTCCATCACGTACCAAGCACGTGCTCTTTCCCGTGGAAACCAACTATCACCACGAAGCGGATTATCTGTTCGCCTGCTAGGAACTCTGGTGAGGTATCGGCAGAAGCAGAAACCGAAGTTGGATCTAGCACCGCCGTGGATGAAGCACCAAAAGAATCTCCGTCTTTAATATCCGCTCTCAACGTCGAACGCGCTCTTCGTGGCCTTCGTAATCCCCTCTCTCACTCTCTTTCTCTCTGCCTCTCGTTTCCATTTTTTTAAAAATATTGGTTTGAATCTTGAAGAAGAAGAAAATGAATAAGAAAAATTGATGGTGGTTTGGATTAGAATGCAGCAATTACAGATGTTGATCACTATGGACGGCTTGGGATTTCTAGAAATTGCTCTTATGATCAGGTCAGTTTTGCCTCGTTCATCAGTTTCAATCTCTTTTGATTATATTTGGAGAGTTTCTTCAGCATTCGTTACTTGACTATAATATATTCAGGACTTGTATAAGTTTTGATTGTTCATACCATACAGAGCAGTCCTGATTTAAGTCCAAAATTAGAGAAAACAAAGAATGATTTTAGTTTGAATCTTTTAAGTAGCAATATTTCAAAATGAAAACTCTTTTTGTTATCAGGTTAGAATTGGTTACCAAGATAGAGTTAAGGAGCTAAAGGAACAAGGCCTAGACGAAGAACAACTCAAGAACAAGATGGATCTTGTCAAAGTCAGTATCACTTTTAAAATAATACCGTTTTGATGAATTTTTACCATATCATCTTGTCAGATTCATGGAGTTTATATAAAGGAATTTGAGGATGAATTTTTAGGAGTCATATACGATATTGTCGACCGTGGAAGAGAGAAGAATGTACGATTGGAGTCTAGCCAGAAGCGAAAAAGCAGAGCGGTACGTGTGGCCATTTGAGGTTGACATCATGGAACCATCCAGGGAAGAGCCGCCTCCTCAGGTCTGTTTTGTTACGGTCTGAATAATGTTGAGAATACTTTAAACCGCATTAATTTTGGTTCGGCTTAGTTAGTTTTTATTTCGGGTTCTTATAAAATAAAATGTTTGGGAAAAAATGGACAGGAACCGGAAGATGTCGGACCAACGAGGCTTTTAGGATACTTCATTGGGGCATGGCTTGTCCTTGGTGTTGCTCTTTCTGTTGCATTCAATCGTTAGCCAAATTTCGTTTCTTTAATTATACTCTTCTTCCTCACTTCAAATCCGATGTATATTTACCCGATTAGATATCTACGTGTAATATACTACTAATATATCTGATGATGTACTTCTTCAACCTACAACAACGTAATGTATCTCATGTATGTTGGGGTAATTTATGTATCACGTTTCCACGTAGTAATGCATAGACCTAAACACCAAATTATATTTTTTGGACCAAAAAAATTAATACTATGCAGAAAAAAAGAGAGAGCAAAACTCACCTAAACACACATTCCATTTCCAAAATCACTATGGAAACAGGCGGAGATTAATAACTTGATGATATGGCATAAGTAAAAGTACTATTTCTTTTTAGTTTGGATTATCAAGATTTTAAATTTGTGGTAAAGCGATTAAGAATATAATGATGAGTTCATTATGCGCGGACACATCATTTATAATTTACTATTTTAAGCATCAGAAGTGATGCATTTTCAATAGTCTTGTCTATTTGTTTGTAACATCATTTCAATCATGTGGTGAAAAACCATTTGTGTTGATCACATAAAAATGGGCAAACATTTGCAGATGTTCGCGCGTGCCAAGCACTTAATGTTTGTAAGAAAACCAAAAATAAAAAATCGTTGGATATGAGAGATGCAGATGTTTATAAAATCTTAAACCGGAATGAGAGATAAGGTCTGGTTCTCAAACAAACGTCGTCGGGAGTTCAGAATCAAAAATTCAATCTATATATTAATCAACAACTTAAAAAAAATGTTTGAGTTGACGTAAATAAATTGTTTAAGCTTCTTGACTTAGTACTACTTAATAAATAATTAACTCAATAAGATACAAATAAAAAAACCGTAGTAGTATTTTAGTAACGTAGATATTAATTAGGGTACACGACCTGTTTGACTTCATAATAAACTAGTGATCAAGCTTTTAGTTTTTGATAAGGAACTAAAGCCAACGGCTTTAGTGGAATCGCAAACATTAATTTTTCTAAAAACATTAATCAAAAAACAAATTGAAACAATTGACTAATGCTAAAATTTGGTATTGCAGATTTTTTATGTCCTAATCATAAGAAAATAAATTTAACTATGTAATAAATAAGATAAAAACACATGTGATGAGTCTGATGACTAAAGCTAAATTAGTTTTAAAATTTCATCATTTCATATTTATGATACTTTGATGATAGTAAATACGCTTATGGTAATATGCTTAAAAATCATTTTTGGAATTAATATTCGTAATATTTAAATATAAATTATGTAGAAGATACACAAAAGATATGTATTAATAATAAATGTCAAGATGTAATTCTACAGACTAAATATTGTTTTCAAGTTTTACTTGTCAGCTAATATATAGATAATATTTTCACATATACTCTTGTCAAAAAATTGACTGCAAATAATATATGTTGTTAAATTACTTTATAGGACAACATTTCGGTATTACTTATATATAATTCGGGCGGAATTTGGGAAAGGCCCTCCTAAATCTTTATATTTTAATGTTGAGTCGGTCACAAACTTTTTATTTTCCCGTTTAATACCCAGGTCAGCGAAATGCATAATGTAAAGTAAATTTGCCTGCCCCACGATTATTGTAAAACAATAATTGAATTAGAGAGACGAATGTCGTCAATTTATTAACGTTTACTTTCTATTTTTTTTTTGTCATCATTGACGTTTACTTTATGCATGAGAAAGTAGTATAAAAGTTGATCAATAATTTTAAATTTATGGTTTATTACCGGAACAACACAATCTATAGTCGCTCAACATGTAAACTATTTGACATATTCTTCAAAATCTAATATGTTTTTTTTCTTTTGTGTAGTAAAATAACATAGGACGCTCAGTTTTGCTTAAACTATTATATCCCGGCTTTGATTATGTCAACCACTATAATCGTTTTGATAGTACGTATAAGCGATCTTTCACATGTCAAAACAAAAAAAAGTTTAGGAACCGTCCCAAAATCTCTTGTTAATAATATATAAAAGTCAATGAGATAAAACTCACATAAAATACATTCTAATACATATTTTCTATCAATTTATATATTTATAATAAATTAGATTTGTATATCTACGGATTTATGATATTTTCATTTACGGAGAATTTTTTTTTTCGTTTCAGTAACATTTCAAACAGGATTGGGGTCTAAAGAAACAATGACCAATGTTTTTGTTTAAAACGAAGAAGCATAGCAAACTACTTTAGCAAAAAATTTGTTGTTCAGTAACTGTTTAGACTGTTAACTTAAGGATTTGGTTAGTTATATCGACTAACAAAAAAAAAAAAAAAAATCTAATTATATGTGGTTTTCTTGAATTTATTAATCTTCAAATAACTACTAATTATAAATTAATTAAGTAATGTACTTCTTCTAGAAGTCAAGAAGTTGTGAACACGATTGTATTGGATGTTTTTCTTCTTCTGAATAGTAAATTAATTGTTCAATTTGACCCAATATTGGAAATTTGCTTTATCCGAATATAATAATTCTTATAAATGTTTTTTAAGGCCCAATTGGAATTCTTCTGTTGCATAAATTTATATTAGCTTTTAGTACAATGATGTTTAGTGATCTTTTTAACCAACACCGAAATATGATTTTATAAAATCGTTGAACCATAATTTTATGAAATATTGTTAGTCTAGTTATAGATAACTGAAAGGGGAAAAGAACGAAGGGTTTCTTCATATAATTAAAGAGTTGTTTCTCAAATAATATTCTTTTTTTTTTTTTTGGGCAACCTCACATAATATTCTAAAATGTATTTTTCTCATGTTTTATACATTAGCCTCTTTGTATATGATTTTTTGTATTACATGAGTTCACCTCTCTTATTCACCTCCTTTTAATTAACCAATCAAAATTTACTATGTTATCTAATAAAAAAAATTAAAACAATTACTGTTATTTAAATAAAATAATTAGATTAAATCATTAAAAACACAAAACTGAATTAATTGTAAAGACCACTAATTGTTGTAATTTTGCAAAGATTGTTCATCGTAGACTTCGTAGTTGGCTTTTTTTATTCTTAACTATTTCTAGGTAGGCTTAGTTCCTCTCTATGGACTAATTTTTTTTTTTTTTTTTTTGGCATATAACGTTTCATCTCAAACATTGTTTTATTGGATCAATTCAATTGTTACATATCTTTTTCTAGAAATATCTTTTACGAATGTTTCAATATATTTACGAACATGAAATTGAGATATGTATAGTAGTCGAAACCAGTAATTTCGAAATTTATGTAAATTTTTTTTTTGAAAAATTACTTTCCCAAACCAGAGTGATTCTCATTAATAACTAATGATTACATATCTCTAATATAATCAACCATAGCTAAAATTTCGGGATGGGAATAACATAATCATCTATCAACCTCAATAATTTTGTTCACTTTTTGTTGTCCAAAAGTTTTCCATCAAATAGTTTATGATAAAAGTGTAAAGTCTATATTTTGTGTTTAAGTTTTGTAAGATAAAAAAAACAACTAGCTTAAATGGATGAATTTATTTTGCTGTCAAAAAAAAAAAAACAACTAGAAATCCCAGTTTCCAAACCTATTTTAACTTAATACAAAACATATCTTTTGTCTCAACGAAATCAAACTGTATCATGTAATGAATACATCCTATTATGAATTCATCATGATTAAAAACACTCTCATGTATTGTGGTAATATTAAAATTAATAGTTAAACACGATATTTTCCAAAAACATTTGGATTTTATTGGTAACATCACCATGATTGGATTTGGACCATTGTAGAAATTATTAACCAAAAGGCGAAAGAAACGAAAAGAAGAAACGAATGGAGAAACTAGTTAGAGATGACGTTTAGAATGGAAAAATATGGGAGTTTGCAACCGTTGGAAGGTTGAAATATATTTTTTATTTTTGAAAAACTCTATTTGTGTATATTCTCCTTTTACAAATAAATTATTATTTATATCTTAAATTTATATTTACGTTATTTTTATAACAATTATTTTAGAGTAAATTTGGGGAAATGCCCTGTTTATGTTTACATTTTTGAAAAATACCTACTTTTTATTTTTGTCTTAAAAAACTAATTTTCTAATATGTAAAAATTACTAAAATAGCCAATTTAAAACTTGATAGTAATTAACAAAAATCTATATTTTAATATAAAATCAATTTATTGATGATAAATAAATATTCAATTTTTACAAAACTGTTATCTAACTAACGTTTCCAAAAATATTTATTATCTTAAATATTTTTCCAAAACAATAATGAATTTTCTATATGACAAAAACTACGTGGGGAAATTTTCAAACATTATTAAGATCTTTATTTTTTGAAAATACATAAATACAAAACAGAAGAAAATAGTATGAGTAGTTTACTTTGCCATTTTTTTTTTTTTAAATGTTGATGTTGAAGAAGATGCAAACTTTGGTGATGACGTTAGAACATTGAAGACTCTCTGTCTCTATATAACTTGACAAATATTCAATGATAAACTTTAGAATATTTTCATATATTAATCTTTTTAATTTTAACATATGAAATCAACAAAGCATCCTTATCATTTCGAATATATAATTTTAATTTACTAGAAATATTGTTTATATATAAATCTGGACTAAAATGTCCTATTACATATAAAAAATATATTTTTCAAGAAAAAACTAGAAAGGTGTATTTTTCAAACTATAAGTCATAAATAGGGTAGATTTCAAAAAACCCCATTATTTTACTAGTTAACTGTTTATTAAATCATAACTATTATTTAACTGTTTAGATGCGTAACCATTTTTTATTTTCAACGCCATTTATCATGTTCTTCTTAACCACTAAAACAACTTTTAATCGTGTATTCAAACGAGAGAACTAATATGACCCATTAATTTTTGATCTTATTTTAGGCCAACAAATTCAACTTAGCACACTCATGTACTTGGTTTTTTCTTGAAAAAACAATAACGACGTCATCTCTCTATAATGCCGTAAGCATACAGACCAACTTCCTTACACAATTAATTTCTTAGATTTTTTTTTCTGCTTTTTTTTTTCTTTTTCGGTACGGGACAGATTTTGAGGATCCTTTAACCATTCTTTTAAGAATGGTTGAATCTTTTTCTTTTTTCTTTGTTTTTTCCTCCTTTAGTTATCTCCACATAACTCAGTGTTGAC